TCTATCATTGCAGGATCCTTACTCGAAGTCTGCTTAGTCATCGAGCATATTTCGGGAACTGACCGTTTAGTTATTTCTAGAATCCTATCTGCAGTAATAGCTAAGTCCTCTATTACAGTACCCTGAAGTGTCACAAGTACGGTCTGTACAGACTGTGGCAGCTTGGTTAAGAAGAGTTCTCTAAACAGTCCTTCGTCGAACTGACTTTGGCCAACGACTTCTTTCATTCTTGTCAGCATGCTCACGGCTGACTGATCTCCTAACTCGATGTTACGAAATAATTCATCTAGACGTTGTCGGTCCGTGAGAACGTTTCTCCTGAGGAGGGATGCTTTGAGCAACTCGTACGAGTTACTTACCTCGGGACTGAACATCTGTGATGTTACGTACTTGCTGAATTCCCGCGGTAGGGCGTGAATAACTGCAAGTAACTGTGAACGTTGATCGGTTATCCCATGCTCACAAAAATCTGCTTCAGCTAGCAGAAACCACGTTTCAGCATTATCTGGCCAGTATGGTACGAGCTGAATGGTTTTAGGAGTTGAGCGGATACGAATGACCTTGGGACTAAGATCACTCATGACGAAAATTATGTCGAATAATATATGGTACAAGAACAAATACAAAATGGAACGAACTCACCGGGGTTATCTGCGGATTTATCGTGGATGAAGTTCGCGGTTGGGCTCACCAGTTTAAAGGTTGACGGAATTCTCTTACACAGCCTCTAAATTATTCTCGCGTACCGAAAACAAAGCAAAAGCCAATAATTGATCGTCCAAACTACGTGATATATTTCGGGACCAAAACAAGCCGTTAGACGAACGCTTAGCTAGCTAGTGATCGTGCACGTGACACGACGGGGTACCAAATGGCGGGGATGCTTGACCGGAAGCCTTCAGCTAAACAAGTCGACTTAAACAGTGGTGGTCAGCATCCAATGAGTGATTGCTGTGGTCAATAATTTTGGGGAATTATTTACCGCTACAGCGTGTATTTTCATGTAAATTTATATGTTTTTATGAAATATATACATTATCATAAAGTACTTGTAATGGTAGTATACGTTTGCAACGTTTAATGCTAACCTTATTGGTCTTATCATGGAAACCACGACGTTTCCAGTGAAAATATAGCTTTATTTTGGTATTTTTCATCAAAGCAACCAGACTTTAAGCAAGCAACAAATATGAACAAAGAGTAATAGTTAGCTTTAATAAAGGCCTAGGTATTTAAGATAAAACAGCATAATAGTGCGTGAATGAGGTTATTGTGAGGTAGATAAGTGATATTTCAGCTGGAAGTGAATTCAAAGATCCGGAAGATTTGAACCCTTAAGAAAAGCTGACCTGTAAGAACTCTCACGAATTTCTGTAGGTCCCATAAGGTACTATTGATGGTTTTTCGTTATTCTGAACTTTGAAAGACGGTTTACACATGTAGAGGGTAGTAATTATGGAAACTGAAGAAACACCTTCTATCTATTTGGAGTATTTCCTTTGACGCAGTTTCTTATCGACAATTTTCAGTATTCCTAGTGATTTTATAGGAAGATTGTTTTCATCTTCGTTTTCATCAGCTGTCCCTACACGCACAGCAGTATGCAATAACTACATATACTCAAGCACTGCAACCTGAACATCATAAAATCCCTATAGATAACCTGTTGTACAATAAATGGTTTAGAAAAAGTTGCAAGTGCAGCTTTCGTATCCTTTATAGCCACAGGTAATTCATGAAGGAGGTCATAATATCTTAGTGATCTGAAAATGAATGATTATACGGACTCGTACAACTTACCTAACAGGCGTACTAGTGGTAGGATGCATCAGCTAGCTACTACTCAGCAGAACGGTAATACTAACTACAAAATCTTTCATATTTTAGAAGGACAATCCACAATATTATTCTTGTCCGAGTGCACTCTGGTGTTAAGATAAGTTGATGCCGTTTAATGCATTTAGCACTTACAGTTTTCCGAAATTCCATATGACAATGTAAACTCAACTGGTAACAGATCTTCGGGTGAGCAATTTTAGCCAGGAACTTCATCAAAATGAACATAATCACCATGAAATTCAGTCGCCTGTCTCATTCACTGTATGATTTCTTTGATATGCCATGTAAGGTTTCAGTTATCACGGATGACAGTAAAAATGTTCAACCTCCTCAGAACATAAATCTAACTTGTGTCTACTGGCTTATTTTCTTTCAATTACCTGATTCTCACAGATTAACTGCTATGACAATAAGCATTGCCTGCAGTCAATTTACAACCTGAAAATCTAAAAAAACTAGCGAATAACAAAGCTTTAAGGCTCCCAAACGGAAATAATAGTCATTTCTATGAATTACTTCTTTAAGTGCATGCCTTTCTTTGCGCTAATTTGTCTGGGATATCAAGAAACCATTACTCATTAATGCGAACAATACGGGAAAAAATCGCCTTTTTCGGACACAGAAGCCTAAAAGTAGTCCAGTATGCTCCATTTTTATAAAAATAAACGCTAATAACGCATCTATAGGTATGAATACGAAATCCCGCGCAGTGCGCGAAAATACATCGCGTAGCCTTTATTCTCCCCCCTAGATGTTACATGTAAGCCTTTAAAGCCGCCGAGCGGCTAACTTCCAACAAAAGTACAAGCTTGCAGACTTCATTCATAGATCTGAACTTAAAATCAAATCTTTCCAAATATATTTGTATTTAAAGCCAAAATGTTGTAGGCAGCAAAACGTCTCTGTTCAAACGATACACAAAGCAGTTATGATACCAGCCCTCTATGCTGAGGCTACATGTCTTCCAAACACAGTCCGCACCATGGCTGAGCCAAATCTCTGCTGGTTAAGAAACGTGTGCACTAAAACAAAAATAGAGAACAATTCAAGATTAATCCTAGAAACCCACTAGTTTACATCAAAAAGTGAAATGAAATATACAGCACGGTTTCAGTAATTGGCCCTAAATTCTCATGTATAACGACGGCATCCCGGAATATCATTTCTCACCTCTCAAGCTTGCCATTTCCTTTCATAGTCATACTAGACACCACATTACTATCCTGCGTTTTAGGAGATGTGGTCAGCTGCCACTACAGTAAACCTTAAGAACCAGGAATTTCTCCAAAATTTTTTCAGGCCTTGTTCAAGACGGGTTCTTTTCAGTCCCATTACAACTCAATATCCCTTCTATAAGTCCATCATTTTCAGGATGTTATGCCTTAGCTGAGAAGTTACAAATATTCAGGTATACTGCGAATTGTCGTTACCGAAGATCTCATAGTTTGACACATCTGAAATGTAACTATTGTGGTACACTACGAAGAGTATTGCAGTGGTAAAAGGTAGACTCACTAACGATGATTGGATCCTATCGTTCAGCTGACACAGCCTTGCACTGTTTTACTGTGTATTATTTACTATGTACTTATTCCCATATTCTCTTTCACACAAATGCCATCTTGCATTTACTCAAATTATACCGATTTGAAGTACACACCACACATTGCTGATAGGTGATTTAGATTCCGCCTGATGACAGTGAAGTGAAGTGATGAACGCCACATCAGAAACACTGAATGAACGCTTATAGCATATTTTGATCTATATATGTACAAGATTACATTGTATTTCCTCCCTGACGACAAAAACTATCCTTTATTAAGTGTGGACCTGTAGGAGGTGCACGACCCTGTAGCTGGTCCAACGGCACTCATAAACACTTCATGTTTAAACTCATTCCCTTAATATAGCCCGCAAACTGCTTAACAGTTTGTTCTTCCATTATATGTGGTTTGGAAATTCGCCTACTGTGATCTAATTAAACCTGCCAGTGAAGCAACACAAAGCCATTTTTCACTCAGGAAGGGTATATCAGTGTTGCTTAAATGAATATCCAGATAGCGGTTCATTATTGGTTTGGCGAAGCTTCAGAGTAGCAGCCAGCTGTAATTACCCTCAAAGTGACTATGCACAAATAATGCAGCCGATATATAGAACTTCAACTTGAGCACTGTGACAGAGTGTAATTCCATTACGGAGTAAATTTATTTGGATAAGGCACACAGAGGTAGAGTGTCAGCTCCCATTTTCCCATCAAGATATTTACATAACTTCTCAAATTTATTTGTATGACTCTATTATTTCTTTACCTTTGACTTTATTGTTGGCAGTCTTCTCACTATCTTTGGCATTACTGTTTATTGATTCCTGCCACACGCGTGTAGGGGACTAATATTAGAGTTCGCTAACATTACAAATATAAAAATAATAATCCAAGTCAATGGAGTGTTAAATCACAATATATTACCAAAAATGGAGTGACGAGTTATATCAACAAAAAGGATTACTTGGATATAAAGTCTAAGTCTTCGCTACAAATTACTTGTATAATCCACGGGTACGTTAATTGTTTGGACTGCGTCTGCTGTAGCTGCTGTGTTCCGGTTGTAGAAATGTCTTCGGTTGGGAGTAGTAGACTCCTACAATAAATCTGAAGTATACAACACGGTGTGAGTTGAGCAAGTAAGCAGAAATAACCAGGGAGAAGGCGAAGTCTCCAACAGCAGAGTGTATTTTCAGTTGTACACGGAAGTTAAGTATATTTCAACAAGAAGCGTTTTAAACAAAAATTATGTACAATATCTCCAATTTCTACAAATAACCACAAAGTGTACAATCACAATGTTACGTACTCTACACGCGAAAGGTGCAGATTTGATGAGCGAAGTGGATGCAGAAAATGATTATTCATGCCACAAATACCAGTGACTATGAATTTCACGTAACTTTCGCTTTCTCATTTTCCTACACAGTGCTGCTGAGTTTATGATCAATTTTAAGGGTGAGGAAAATCATTCCACTTAGCGGTTGGTAGTTAACGCTCAGAATTTGTTTAGGAAGTTGTGAGTCCTTGCACTTGAATAAAATCATTTGAGGACTGATATTCTGCATCAGGACTTTCAAAGTCCTGCAGTTATGCCACCATCGTATTGCTTTGTGACCTCTTCTGGGCACAAAACATTTAAAAATCCGCAAAACCGACTATTCCTACAGGTCAATGTAGATCGACAAAACAGAGTTCACTTTCGTTGTGAAGTAGCGCCGGTTTTGAGTTGACTCTGTTGGCGTGGTTCTTTTGTAAGTCCCGTCTTACCCGTTCGTTTCGTAGGCAATTAATTTAATCGGTTTTACACAGTTTATTTTGTCATTGAAACGACCTCTTTATGTGAATTTGTGTGATCATGTTACCACTTGTTAATGTTAGCCGTCGGTTTTTCTTTTCAGTCGGATAGAAATGGGACCATATTTTTTACTATTGGCCATGCCCATTATTCACCCGTTTTCTACCATTTTTGTCCGACTGAATTGTAATACACTTTGTGTGAGTGTGTTTTCAAAATATAGTAAGTGATAAATTATTGGCATTTATTTGACTTTCAAATGGAGTTAGCTGCCTCCCACACGTTACTGACAGTATATTTATTAAAATACCATTAAAGTGACAGAAGTTGCACAGAGAATATGCACTGCATAAAATCGACTTGGTCTGTTTATTGCTTCAAGTTTTGGACATCGTGTACTTAAAGCACGACCTTACTTCTCATGGTGAATAATGTAGTGATAATGAGGTTAGGTGCTAAGGGTAGGTCAGTCGATAAGTATGTAAAGCTTCGTCGATTGAGACGACTAGAATATGTGTTTCGCATTCCTAGCCATTGTCTTCTACGATGAGCAGATTTAGCCAACGTAGTATTTAGTTGGGAAAAAGCTGTGATTAAAATGAAGCCTCCCATCAGTCAATGAAACCTTTTACATTTGGGTTGAGCCACGTAGGGAGTTGTAAACTTTCTGGCTAGAGTCCTCTGAATACCGAGAACGACTGGAAACTCCACTTAGCGGTCATGTCTGTCCAAGTAGCTCTTCGTTCTTCACACTTCGGTTTCTTATTACTATTTTGGAATCTGATTTTTTTTGTCTTTCTCTACCTTGATGTGCTGCCTGGGGTGTGGCAAGTTGAACTGCTGAGCTTATGCGTAAATACTCAGTCGTTCTAATAGCGTGAAATTAAGTAACAGCATTATATTGTTGAAGGGAAACTCGTTTCTGTTTGATATAAATCGCGACTGTGTCTGACATCTGAAACAATGTAAGTATTCGTTGATTGTTGAAATCGAACAACTTATTTCCAGAGAAGTAAGCGTTAACGTCTGGGAGTGGTTAGACAAATTCCAGAACCAATTTGTGAAATTAGTAGCTCTTGGTGTAGGCCTGGATAAACGTCTTACCTGCTATCAGTATCATGATAGCTTCCTGAACCTGGTGCTAATTCGGAACTCATCAAGGATTTATACATAACATTAAGCGTGTCACTGATAACCCTGGTAAAGCTTGTGTACTAAGCAGAGGGTTCTGAATTACCATAGGTGCCGCTGATCAAAATTTATCGGTTTCTAAGTCATGACTCATTATGACGTCTAGGTCAAAGTGCGTCGACTGATTAAACGTGGTCCACTTACATATTATGTATTGCTACTTGTGTATCTAATGCTCATCAATACTCAGTCATGACGTTAATGGACAACTAACACAGGCTGGTCATAAGGTTTCTTCATCACGGCATGAATGTTTCAAGATCAAATAAGCCTGGTGTAGTGATTCTTCCATAACTGCTTCAATAGCTGCATTGACTAAAGCAATAGATCACTTGATTTTACACAAGTGTAAGACTCAAAACTTCCTCCAGTTCCACATCACTCATAGTGACAGAATCAAATATGATCTTCATCTCAAGAAGTATGACGAACAGTATGTCTACGCTTTTCGGTCTGACCAAATTGTCATTCTCTAGTCATTCAACTCAATTCCTACTGTTAGTATTTTTTCAGTTATCACTGGAAAATCTCAAATAATAGAATGGTCAATAGTTGACAAAAGTTTAGCGAAGTTATCACATTATAAATCATTAAATTAAGCTTCTTGAGGAGCATGCCGAAGACTCCGGAGCTATTTAAAAAATGTGGCGTGGGATTATTGACCAGATTAACTGTGGTACTAGTTGGTGTGTGTAATTGCAAGGTAGTTCCACTGGACAGTGTTGATAGCTGACCATTTTAGTTTTTAATAGAGGAAACAACTCTTCCCGTGATAATCGCAAGGGTATCAGCTTGATTAGTAGTATCTAAGATGATTATATAACCTTGTTATTCATTTTAGTTTCCCGTAAAGTTCTTTTGGTAAGTTGAACGTTTGGTTTCTTTAAAGTGGAACGATTGATTGCATCATCCCTAATTGAGTGATTACTGACAAAATCACATCATGAATACAAAAGCTTCTTCGACATTTGCCAATTTACATCTTGCTGTCCATCAAAGGATGTGTATACTGCGCAACAATTTTCTTCATCTCGCTTTGCGACTAGGACATGGCGGTTGAAGATGAAAGAGAGAGGCAATCATTCTTTACCATAGATGCCCTCATGTTAGATGCGGCAATAGGGTCAGTAATAATAAGCTTAGGTCTGTTAAATAAAAAGAGAACGTCAATCATTGAGACTTTGAAGCTGAGCTGATTGAGGTAAGTAGAGTAATCTACTGGTGTGCTAACTCAGATTTGGTCTTTCTGTCTACAAACTGTTTTCACTAGTTTTTTTTACAGAAAACCAGTGATCAAGTGTTGGACGAGTACGGACATAACTGTTATATTGAAATAAATGTTTTATTACCTTATAAACTCATAACGACTGACTGGTTTCAACATAGAACTTTGCACAGAAGTGCTGCAGTTCGAGTTGTCACGCTCCATGAAGCAAGTAAAGGAAGACAAAAGAGAAAAGATTTGGGAGGACGATAATAAGCAGAAATATAGGGAAGAAACGATAGTAAAACAAGAGGGTTTTTTGGATATGGTACATCACAGAGAGTGAATGCATCTGCGCTAGTGAGAACAACTTTGAGCTATATCACCAACTGTTTCCAGTTGTTGGTTCTTGGCATCTGCAATCCCAACCTCCTTATGTGGATCAAACTAACTGTTAAAGATTTCATGGACCGATGACATGTTTTCTTTTGAGCTGGTTTTTAGAGTTGCTTCCGTATTAATAACTTACCGACAACTACAGATCACCGTGGAGCAATTAGAAATGCACAGTGTTTGAGGTCGGCTTTTTGTAACTCTATCTCTCCAGAGTGGAGGGGCAGCATAGTTGGCATGCTGAGTATTTGAGAGAAACATCCTACTGCTGTTACATCCCTGTCCGCAGACCGTCAGCGTAGTGTGAACATCTACTACGCCGGTAACTGCTTTTAGTATATTCGCTATCACTATGATATGCGAACCTAACCATCATATCAAGGTAGCAACTACTGGCCAAGAAACTCCTAATGACTCCTGGTTGACTCCGTTAAAACTTCAATCAAATACATTTGTAAATTAACCTACACATTAATGATGTTTTCAGTTCGTGGGTGCTTGGCATTGCTGTTTAGCTAGATAAGTACTATTGTTGGTTCTTAGTAGACTTAACTCCTATTTGCTTATGCATTTGCGCATTGGTTGTCACAGCCTGTTCTGGCTTTCTTCAGCCATAAAAATCAAACAAATATATCTACTTACTATAGTTTCATTCAACAACTTTAATCAGATGTTTTTCGTCTATTGAAATGTAGGTTAAAAGTTAAGATGGCTGACATAGATATGAGTAAACTTGGGATATCCAAGAATTTACTCCAGATGAATTTCATGCGACGAACTGTCATCTCCAAGGAAAAGGCAGTCAATAAACCCACTGCAGATATCCCTTCAAATTCACAAGAGGAAGAATTTAAGCTCCCTTCTTTTGTAGAGGAACATATTCGTAAAAAAACTAAAGCTCTTGAGTCACAAAATCGCTATCGATTTTTCAAGAGTATTTTCCAACCGTATGACGTACCACCTGGGTTTCGAGAAAGCTTTGGTAGCTTCACTCCTCCCAATACCTCTCAGTCTCAAACCAGCGACCCAACTCATTCGTCCAACTCTGTCTCTGCAAGTTTTACTGGCAAAAATGAAGCTTTGAACTCACTTGGGAGGGTGTCTGAAACAAGTATGCGCTTCAGAAGACTATTGGGTAAGTTTCATAAATTATATGTTTTGTTACTTAATCTGTATTAAGTCACCTTCAGTAACCAAAAGCTGACTCATCTTGAATTTACTCTTATCATCATCATTTATTTACATTTGATTCTAATGAATGAAAAGCAGTCATACTGGCTTTTGACTATCCACGACCATCAAGGTGTGCAGTTTGTACAGCATGATACTAGTGAGGGCGTCATCCTTTTATATACCACGTGAGAAGTGAGGAAGTGTCATCACAGTCTAACGCTAACCGTGTTACATGAACTGAGACTTGGCTACTGTAACCTTGCTCACTGTCTGCTGAATAGGCCATATTTATACTACTTTAGCTGCTTTTCTGTTTTACATTAACGGTTTGTTTCACAGCATTCTGTCTTTTAGTTTCTATTAATACAATATTTGGAGACACTCAGCATTCATTCAGATTACCGAATAAGGGTAAAACAATATTCCCGTAGTCCCGTTTTGACGGGATTATTGTAATTCAGTGTTCACCCTTACCCTAATCGGCTTAGCTACTGTTTCCCTGCAGAAATTTCGAAGTCTCTAACTGTATTTGAATAAGAAAAGTGTAAGGAACTGCTGATCGAATTATTTTGATGACAAGACATGAAGCAAAATTCCTGTTTAAGAGTTTTTGATTGGTGAGTATAACCCTCGTTTGGTGATCGAAATCTCCACATTGTTCTATCTTGACTAAGTGGAATTTTTCTTTTTTCGTCTCATGCTTTTAAATAAACTGTAAAATGAAGCGTAATCACAGCAGTTTTCCATTATGTGAATAATAAACGGTTGCGTATTCTTATGAAAAAAACGCACTAAATTAGGAGAACATTATTTTTCATGAAGATTTAATCTCTATGAAGTAAATTTTCGCCGTCCTTGTGCTTAAATATCTTCTTGAAACTTAAAAAGTGTTGTTCCCTTTTAGTGGCTATACTTTCAAAGTTATTTAAGACGGTGATACTAAGTTAGGCTATGCTTCATCCGTGGAGATATGGCTCAGTAACTTGACTACTCAACTTTCAGTCACTAAGCTTCGGGTTTGAAGCCGCTCCACCTAATTTGACCTGGGGAATTGGTTGGCGTTATCATCCCGATACAATAAAGTGCGGCTCACAGTCTACTGTGAGAGAAATCTGTTTCGAGTAATTGATTTCTAACTATGCTTCTTACACTTATTTAGTTTCAAACTTTTTTTTACCTTATTATCAGCAATTAGTAAACCTGTGAATAATAAGAGTACTCTTAGACCCCCCCCCCCACAAAACGACACTGCCATCGTCTGTCCGTCTAAAGTTGGGTTTTTGCGAGTTTCTTTACCATTTTGCTCTAAGATGGAAAACTATCAAAGAAAAAAAGTAGTATTGGCGCATCATAAAGCATAGTTTTAATAAAGATAGTTGGTTAACAGCTTTTGGTGTATAGTAACAGGTAATATAAAGTAGACTGCTCGTCGATTTAAGCCAGTAGTAAAGTGACGAAAATCAGGTTAACAAGAGGAAATGTAGGACGAGTAAAAAATCATTTCATGGTGAACCATGGCAATAGAGTCATTAATGTGTAAGTGTCTATTTAGTCAACTTGGAACTATTTCATTTATGGATTTTATTCTTGGTTCAAGGGTCATAGGAAAATGAACTTAATCGAAGTAGCCGGCTTTATGTTATTCTTGCTATTCCTACCCCAATAAATTCAAACGAAATTAATTGGAGCTGGAAATTATCATTGGTTTACTTAAACCTTCTTTTAGATTATTTCTAGCCTTTATTAGTGACTTTTGGGTTTCTGATGCCGTCCACTTGGTTACATTCACACTTGTTTCATGGAAAAGCAAACAAGTAAGATTATCATATCTTGCAGTATTTACGATTTTTGGAAAGACTAGCAAGTTATGATTTTTTTAAAGGAAATTACTTCATTTTTTCACCTAGATCCTAAACCATATACATCGTACAAACCCAAAAGGACAAATCGAAAGAAAAAGAAAAAAAGAAGAAGGCAGTTGTAAAAGTTACTTAATTTTGTACAGATGGATTTGTGATAAAAAAATTCAAGTATATTTTCTCTGATATATTATTGTTTTATTTTTATAAACTTGTCCTGCATTAGGTGTAATGTGACGAAGTCAACTCTTGGTTTGTTTTTTGTTTTATGACAGGCTGAATGGCTATAGCAACCAATATTTTTAATACAGCTGGTAAAGGTCTAATATCTTTCTGACTATCGTACACATCTTTTTTCTGTCTGTGATAACCTCTCGTGAATTAGTGGTCGTCTAAGCAACAGATCATCAAAACCGTTTGGGAAATGTTGCATCCAGCGTTCCAATAGTCTTTGATGATTTTTTGTTTGTATACAATCTGCCCCAGTGACTTCAAACACCTTTTTATCAATCAATCGAATGAACAAGAGAAAGTGATTATTAGATGCAGCAGTTACTCCCATATCACTTGTGATTTGTAACCAAAACACTTCTTTCTGTAAACTCAACCGATGGCTACTACCTTGACGTGGTGGTCGGGCCTGAATTTCACGATGATCCAACGGCCTACACTGGTTGGAATTAATGTTCCTGCAGGTCTTACCGTGACAGGTTGTTTGGATAGGGATTAGACTAAAAGCAGTTACCGTCATGGTGTAACTTGTTTACTCTACTGGAAGCATTTGTTTCCATATACTAATTTAAAACAAGCAATAAATGTTGATAAAGCAGGATTCAGTGAACTAATCAAATTTCGGTAGAACTCTTCTACTGAATACTCTACATACACTGATATATGTGGAATAGGGTTAGGAAAGGTGAATCCCGAAAACTACATTCCGACTTGCCTTGCGGTGGTCCGTATCCGGCGGTAAGATCTTAACACGGATACAACCCAAAAAACCAACTTTAACATGCAGTGTGTGTGGGTGTGTGTTCGGTCTTGGCATTGCAAACACTCGAAACTAATGCCCTTTCTGTTTCACATACCTAAGGAGAAAATTAACTTCCACGGTGTGGGCAGTTGGGAAGTAGCAACAATCCACACACTTTCACAATCCCAAAAAGCTCCCCTGATCATCAACCACCTTTACCTACATTACCATCATCTTGGTTTTCTACCACTGTTAACACTATTCTGCAGACAGGTCACCTAACTCTGTGACCACCAGTAGCGATGGGAGCTGATAGTTTGTCAGAACCACGCCATTGAATCGGACAACAGACATCAACAGTCACAACTCTGGCATATCGATCCATGGATGTATGTTGTATTGTATTTCAACGGCCATCACAACCATTACCTAAACGAATGGATGTAAATAAATTAGTCAGACATAAAAGGTGCAATTGACTAGTTGACTTTGGATCGTGAAAGTCAAAATAAGTTGGGGATAATGAGACCGTAACATGGAATCAATCCATGAAGTTACTGATTGCTGGTATGGATTACATAGAAAGGTGAAGTTTCTCTGGTTTTTCCTCGCGATGGGTAAAAACAGTAGTTGCAAAATCTTTACTAATCTTCATCTAGTTATTTTTGTTATAGGACAATTTTTTCCACTGGTTTTGTAAATGCCTTTTATGAAACTTTCAGACTTGGTCTCAACTTTGAACTTTGGCATAGTGGATGTGGGGAATTGGAGAGTGAATACATATGCACCTTTGCGGAAGATTTTGAGCCACACCACCAGCAGTCTCAAGCCACTGGTTCATAACGTCTTGAGGACGCTAACCAAGCAGTCCACACTTTCCTACATGACTCAAACCAACATTCGAAGACTGTTGAATACATGTGTCGTTTAGTCGACCTTGCGGCACGTCGCTCGGTGATTCGAAAGTAATAAGTATACAGATGTTAGTTCTGTAGGGATTTAATTAATCCCGAAGTAGGAGCTGTTCAATCTTATTCGTCCTAGGTTATCATCCAACCAATTATGTGCGGTTCAAGTTACTTTAGCCACTACATAACTATATATATATATATTAGATGTAGGAGTCAGAATTAAAACTGTGATACTTTATGTTAATGGGAACAATCATATTCACGGTAAATAAATTTTCAATTAATAGAAGATTTACAACTTATTTTAGACAATGTTCGTGCTTTGTACACATGATTAGAAGTATTTCCTGTGAACAATAATAATAATATTCTGTATTCCTAGAAAAAACAACGTGTACTACTTTTTTTTAAATACATTAATTAACGTCTACAGAAAGTTTGAATAAAAAGCTGGTGGTATAAGTAATCATTTGAACTGTGCATATTTATATCAGTATTGACTTCTGTGTATACATTGACAATCGATTAATAGTGTTTCGTGTTCGCAACAATAAAGCTTCGGTAATTCCTTGTTGAAAACCGTTGGTATTTTCTCACTGTTTGTTATTCAGCCTGTGGGTGAACTGAAAAATGCAAGATGATGAAGTTGAATTATCAATTTCGTCGGCTTACTAACGATTGCGAAAAAAATCTGAACACGACCATGATTAATTTGCTTGCTTTTATATTTTGAGCAGCAGAGTATGACTGTTATTACATTATTGACTTTATAAAGGGAAAATATATGAAAACACTGTACATTACAGTTTGCAGTAAGTTTCATAAGAGAGAGAGAATGTAAAACTTCCAGTTTGTTTGTTTCGCAGTGTTTTCTTCATACAAAGGATGCAGTTCACCTATCATCACATACATACCTACTGCTAAGTAGCTGACACTTTATAGATCTAATGAAAGCATTTAATAAGATATTCTTCCAGAGATTTGGCATTCGCATCAGGCTGTTCAATGAAGTAACTGAAATCTCTTCATCAGAAGAATATTAGGCACAATAGTGTTTACGAATTCATTTGAATACTTTAATATGGAAAGAAAGGCTATAACCAGACAGAATCTAATATTACTGTAATGTATATAGTGAAACTTAGTTTTGTCTGCTGTCTACGATTATTTTGTACCTAATCATGTGTCTGATGTAACAGGGATTATAACCACTGATGCTTACTTCGTATTTAAGAGCCAAAAATCACTCAAGCTCGAAAAGTGACTCGTTTGATTTACCATCTGATAGAATGTTTTCCTTCCTATGTAAGACTGAAGATATTACAGTACGTTTGAACGATCCACAAGAGATTTTATTCAGAAGGCGGAAACAATAAACATCACTTCATCAGTTGGTCCAACACCGAGTGTTGTCAAGCCGTTTTGTTAGCTTTGTTTCTTAGTTTGAGTCTGTAGAAATATTTGAGTTTCATTGATGTTACAGTGGTTACGTATGTTATCATCGGTCATATAGTTCGAACCCAAGATATTTTACAGAGCCACTTTAATTACTAAGTACCAATTATGCGTTTACCGTATGTTTGAATTATTCCTGAGTGAAGTCTGTCTGCTATTGACATAGAACTTTGCACCGATGTGCAGCAGTTCGAGTCGCCACACTCTATGTACCACACATAGAAAGACAAGAAATGCATAATAGAGATAGTAGACAGGGATATCAGACAAAAGGAATAGTTATAACAAAGAAAAATATAGTTTTCAAGCGATGGTTTGTAGGGATTTGATTGGTTTCAGGATTTCATCATGAGCTGACATTAGTTAGAGAACCATTGGAAAACCTGGGAGTACTGGACAAAGTATAGTTTCATTGGAAATGGTAAGTAGCAGGGAGTGGATGCATTGAGAACGATTTTGAGCCATACCACCAATCGTCTCCATCTAGTGGTGTTTAACATCCCGAGGACCCCAACCACGAGATCCAGTCAGCAGATGCCTACGTGGCTGGCTTAAACTAACTGTTGTAGGTTTTATTGACCGATGTGGCAATGTTTCGGTCTGACAGCCGCTAGCTCATTTTCAACCTGACCCCTATGTCAGCTACGATTGTCCGTCGAGGAAGGCGATGGCTAGTCAGGGATGTGTAACACATGTCCTAACCACCTCAGTCGATTTCCCCTCCTTACCTAGCACTCGACCGACACCTAACCTCAATATTGTTCACCCTATTATACCATTTAACACGGGAGATAAAACGGAGACACCTAGGATCAAAGAGAGCTAGCCAGGCTTTTCATGTCTTCCACTCTCAATGTCAAGGTCTCACAGCCATCAAGGTCGGACGAGGCGGACTGATGAGCAGTACACCCGTCCTTTGGTCGATGGCCAGCTGGACATCACGTCTACGCCAGAGACGGCTTAAAGTGGCATATGCGAAACTAGCCCTCTGTATCCGTGATGAGTTGTTGTCAGCGATCAACCCGTTGGCGCTGGCTGATGCAACTTCCCAAATAAGTGAAGTGGTCAACACGCTATACCACTTCACTCCCTATTTCTAAGCTAAGAGTCAATGTATTCCAATCCTATAGCACCATCTTGAGTGAAGGCGGTGAAACAAATTCACCTGATATAAAGAACTAGACAAATCTTCATTCCCTATTTAATCCAATATGGATTTCCACTTGTTCTTAAATATAACAGTTCATTTTTGTGTAATAATGTGCGTTAGGACTGACCTCATATTCATCACTTAGTTCTTAGTACAACTTTGATTGTTTTTCTCTGTGTATTAGGTTGGTCTTGTTCATTGTTACCATGTTTTACTATTACTATATTTTAAGCTTAAATTTTTTGATGTAGCAGCATTAATTTTAGAGTAAAATTCATTTCATAGTCCACTTATTATCAGGAGCTGTTTCCTAGGGATTTATAGTATCTGTTTACATTAGGTATACTGGAATTGAGAAGTGTCCTGCTTAGTTAGTAAAAAAACGAACAAGGTCAGCGTTTAGTTGGAGGAGTGAAGTCGGTACAATCGGCTATTTCAGATTATCTCAGCAACCATTAACAGTCTTTTCTACTTATCGGATTCAGAATGATTGGCAGTGGGGTATGTGTATTGCGTTACCGGTAGTGCGTTATACGAATAGGTGTTTATCTTTGATTCAAATGAAAGTTGGGTAGAGTATTCGAGGATTGAAATGAAATTAAAATCTTGTCGGCAGGTAGGTCGTAATCCAGAAGCCACCGTTTTCAGTGGTATTGTGTTCTCATTTCTCATTCCACCTTTACTTATGCCATAAATATGTTTACTAAGTGATCATTAAATATTACTCGCCTGTTCTATGGACAGAATTCTAAGCCACTTAATATTGAGGTAAATTCACATGGTAATACACTTTTACAATCTTGGTCTATAGATTCAGCTTTAATACATTTAATTTACAGTTTAGCGCGTGTAACGTTATGGCATAATTAGAACTTATCACACACGGAACATCAGGACTTATAATTCCCTTTTTTATATCATAGTCTAAACGATGGTATTAATTACTATTCTCTTTCATTATAAATTAGTAGCTGAAGCCACCCAGTCAACAGGAAAACTCCGTCTTCTTTATCTGCCTGATTCAAGTAATATGAGTACTACATAATGATGTTAGCAGTTGATATTACAATAAACTGTACGTCTTCCTTACTGTTCATAACGCTTCGGTGGCAAGTAGCTAGTCATCCCAACAACACAGAACTTTTCTCGTGGTCACGGTACCTATCGAGTCGAAATAACAAAGAATTCAAACAGAGATGTACTTATCCAGCTATGTTATTACATCTCTGAAACCTCTTATTTAAAATTCTATCTCCAAGATGTGTTTTATTTGTAGCGCACTGTCGTGATATTTAGCTTTGTTAAGTTTTCTTATAAGATTTCGAAACAATAAGGTTATCTTTTTCATATATAGTCTGGAGCTGAGTAGTTTCTAGTCAACAAGTGCTTTCCCTACTGATGTGTACTATGAAAACGTCTGTTTTTATGGGTACACAAATTCACGCACATACATATGTATACAGAAATAAGCCATCCTTTGTGTTTTAGAATATCACTTCACCTGTGAGAAATAATATTTGAAATTCGTTCGATGTTCAATGATGAACTAGTAAATTTAAAGATAACAAATGCCAGTTATTATGAAATAGTAGTAAAAAGTAAACTCTAGCTTCCTGTCCATCTTTCCATCTTCATTTTCTTTAAATACAAATATTATGTAAATTTATAAGAATTTTTTATGTACTTTCATATGGCTGTGGTTGCATAATCTCTGAAAATTTCCAATTTTTATTTGTATCATCTTGATCAATTGACATGAAACAGTAGAACTAAAACAAGAAGAAAGTGAAGGAGACTGCATAAACAATAATAAAGATAGGAAGTTTATAGAATATGCAACAAAAATAAAAAGTATCGATGTACGTGAAATGTTTACGTATAGCATTTCTGTAGCACATAAGTTGTCAGTTAACTAATCCGTTTTGAACCGGCTAGGAGTACAGGCCTGCGCTATATTGTATTCTAGCGACCAATACTGCCTGTTATACTAGGTTTGTCAATAAATATGCATTTACTAAGCCGTAATGAGTAATATCTGTACCTCATCATAAGCGTCCCCCCTTTTCCCGTTGAGACACTGTTAAGAGTGACACTGTGCGTCGGTGGCACAGTGGCTAGGACTCTCGTCAACCATGCACATGGTCCGGGGTTCGAGCCCACGCCGACGCACACCTGATATCTATGGTCGGCCTGCGAAATTTGGGCTACCGATATCCACGCTGAAAATTCCATACTTGTACCAAAAATACGGTGTGGAATCAAGCTGTAAATCAAAAATAAAAACAACAATACGCTAGCATTATTTTATTATTGGTTAAAGTTTCCTAGACTACTTCCGCGTACTGAAATGTTACCTTTGCGTCTAATAAATAACTTATGTATGATAAATACATTGCCACAATCATAGTATACGATAAGTTCAGTAAAATTAAGAATTATGTGCAACCATGGGGTCGTTGACCTAGGCATCAGAAGCGAAGTGTACCTTTTTCTCAGTTATCTAAGGCTAACTGTTATATATATATATATATATATATATATATATATATATATATATATAATCACAAATGATAGCTACCAGACTGAGCTTCTCGATGAAAAGAGTAGTGAACAGGTTATTTTCTACTATCACTTTCATTGGAACTTCAATTTTCGATAGAGTGTTTGCATACAAGAAAAATTGTTAGCTCACCATGTCATTTTCATAGATTTGGGTTTCTGGCATTGATTAGCTATAACATAACGAAATCCATGCTCCTGCCATCTGTACAGTCCAAGACAAAGAATTTGCCAACATGTCAAACAGCGCATGTACACTTCTTTGAAAGTTAATGGTTTCTGAAATGTTTAATGGTCGATGTACTAGGAAATTCTAGATTGCAATATTTTCAAATTGTAATAATAAATACCGCAGATATAGTCTGTTGAAATTTTTGTGTGACACCAAATGAAATATGTCGACATATAATACTATTCATCTAAGTATACAGCTAGTTAAGATTTTAAAAACATTATATCGGATGTTTGAGAAGGAACAGAGTCTCACAGCTATGGAAAGACTAGGATATGATAGTGCTTGAAATCTAATCAGATCGTACATAAAGCTTTTGTAGTTATTTGAAAAAGGGTTGTAATTACTCACTGTAATTTTTACACCTTTCATTATTGTTAAGATATAGACTCAAATCTCTTTACAAAATTTGAGAGATATGCTATAAATGGTTTGATATATTTCGGTTTTGCTTCCCATGGAACACTGTCAACCAGACAAGTCATATGTGATGAGATAAACCCATCATGATACTGAAGGGAATATGGAGTTTCAACATGGATTCACCTTGAGATGATTGCCTTCACCTTGTAGTTATATGTGATTACAGTTGTGCGAATACCAGCAGACCTGATTGTACCTGGTAGGCTTTGTGATTCAGAGATACAAAACACCAAAATCACTGTGCTTTCATCAGATTGCTTTACAAACGGCTTTTACTATATAGTTGGTAATGTGGTCCACTAGGACGAGTATGTATGCACTACTATCTTTTTCCAATCGCTTAGATGGCAACTCCTAAACTGAGTGTGAATCACACACAGACCAAAATACCTTGAATGATTCAAAGGAGGGCAGAAAAAAAGTAGTAGTAACAACTGTCAGTTTCGGCAAAGCAGTATCAAGATTTAGTTCGCTAGAAATATTGTCAGAGGATTAAAAATCCTAACTTCTTTGAAAGTGAAAACACAATGAATGAACTTACTTAAAAGAGCTTTATTCATATAAGATCATAATGATACTGAGAAGGTTGTGTTGAGCTAGTGAATAACAAGCTGAGTGGGATTTTGATAGAAATACTTTATTCAACCGCCGGACATACAACATTGTGAAGTGTTATAACCAGGAGTTTATAGCGTAGAATTATCAGTCCGACTATCTATTTATCGGAACGTTATTATTAATAATCATGAATTTTTTGCTAGAAGTAGGTTACTAAGTTGTCGAGCGATCTGGACGTCATTTAGCTATATAGACATGTATTAAGCTTATGAGAGTTTTTTTATGTATACAGTAGAGTTAACTGATTGACTTTAAACGACATGTTGCTAAGTCATTCAGAAGACATAAGACTATAAGCGAACTAGTATTGGGACACAGTATTCTAATGTATTTGAATAGCCTAGAAACATGTCAGTTAATTTGAGTCAGTTTATTTTGCTTAAGTTTTTGGTCACTACAACAATTGTCTTTCACTTTACATTTTTAAGAGGGAAAAATATTACAAATGTGAAAGTTTGAGTTCGTTTTTGCAAGAAGTGTTTCACTTTGTTAGAAATTTGCATATGTTATCTACTTGTTCTAAATGTTTCAGTTCTGCTTTTATTTTCTGCCAGATAAGTTACTGGATGCATTGAAATGAGTGACTGACTGACTGGTTTCGATGTAAAACTTTGCACAGAAGTGCAGCAGTTCGAGTTACCACACCCCATGCAGGACATAAAGCAACGGAAGAGAGTAAAGAGAAATTCAAAAGAGAGATAATAACTGAGCTCTAAGGTAAAAAGAATGAGTGTAATATCTTGCAATCTTATTGAAATGAGTACTTTGCCAAGATTTCCGTTTTATTTCAGTCTGCTTACTCGACGTGGCTCTCTAGCCAAAAATTTGAAAGGAGCATGATGGAATCCACGCAAGGAAACTTTCACTCCAGGCATTCGAGTGGACTGCTTTATTGTGCCTTGTTGAAGACCTATTTTGGGGCAAAACATGGAAGGTACAAAGAATAATTATTATTGACTTCAAATACGGAAAAAAATCTTCCAAGACCAAGCATCAAATATTATAAAACTGTATTATTTGCATATAGACTATATAACGTATAGTGCATTATCGGTAAACCTATGTAATATGTATCTTTTAAAGTTAATGTCAGCATATAAACCTGTAGATGTTACACTCTAAGAGTAATGGCTATAAAATTTCGCTTATTCATTAATTCTGAAGCCAGATAATAATTTATCATTTGCACTGACATCAACTGTAAGTTGACTACAATCCTTTAACGAAAGCTGAAGTCTTGAATGCAATCAAACTTCTGAAAGCTGGAAAAGCAGCTGGACCAGATGGAATACCCCCTGAAGCACTGAAAGCGGACCCGGAGACGATAGCAGATATGATGACTGAATGAAAGGTTATCTTGTGAAACTACCAAAGAAGGGTGATATAGGATTCTGCAAGAACTGGCGAGGAATCATGCTCCTGTCGACGCCAAGTAAAGTCCTGAGCCGCATCATCCTGGAGAGAATAAAGGGCGCACGACCAGAACAAGCTGGATTCAGGAAAGGCAAATCATGTACTGACCAAGGTGAAACTCTACGCATCATCATCGAACAAAGCATGGAATGGCGATCATACCTCTACCTCAACTTCATAAACTCTGAGAAGGGCTTCGACAGCGTTGACCGCGAAGTAATTTGGAAACTACTCGAGTACTACGGCGTACCCCAAATATTCACCAACCTTATTCAACAGCTGTACGACAACGAAACATGTCAAGTGATCCACAACGGAAAACTCAGCGAGGCGTTTGGAGTAAACACAGGAGTCAGACAAGGGTGCTGGCTTATTATCACCAATGATATTCCTAATTGTGTTGGACTGGATTATGCCTCAGACAGTGGGAAACGAGAAGACAGGGATATCCTGGACCGAGCGACGTGAAGAACCTAGAAGACCTGGATTTTGCGTGTGGATGATTTATGTTTGATGTCACATAAAATCGAAGACCTACAAGTAAGCGAAAACCGACAAACTGGTCGAAGAAGCAGCCGGCGAAGACAGGACTCCAAGGGAACATAGACAAGACGGAGGTTATGAAAATAACCAACCAACCAACAACAACAGCAACAACATCCAGCGCCAATCACCATCAACGGGAGGGATTTGAAAGAGGTTACTTCATTCACTCACTTATCTAGGGAGCTTTGTCTCAACTACGGGAGGGACGGACAAGGATGTCAAATCGAGCGAGAATCGGGAAGGCCAGCGAGAAACACATTCATCAACCTGAAACAACCAATCTGGAAATCTTCGTCATTCAGCCAGCATCAGCAACAAAATTCGGTTGAATTTTCAATACAAACGTCAAGTCAGTCAGTTCTTCTATACGGATGAGAAACTTGGCGGGTGGGTCACAAAGAATATTTCCAACAGCCTGTTGCAAACCAGACCTTTATCAACAACTGTCTTTGCTGGATCTATACTGAAGACCAGATGGCCGGGCCGGAAAGAATCACCAACAAGAAACTATGGGAAGGAACAAACAAAACAAGAACCAATCGCCAGCCAACAAATATGCAGGAGAAAGTGGAGATGAATTGGACACTCATTGAGGAGGCCGCTGGGTGACATCGCGCACCAGACCTTCAAGTGGAACCTGGAAGGGAAGTGGCGAGTGGGACATCAGTGCAAGAATGACATGGAGGAGATCGTGTGGAGAGGAGTTGAAACAGTATGGACTAACATGGATGCAGTGAAAAGTACAACAGAAGCAAGTGGAGACGTGCAGTTGAAGCCCTATGTTCCACTAGGAACCCAAGGGAACAATAATAATAATTCGTACTGACATTGGTAGTCGTTTTTATCTTTCCTTGGGACTTACTTCTAATTCCTAGGGAAATGATTTTTTATGTGAGACATAAATAAAACTTCTGTCTACATTAAAATGATCATTCCGCATACTTTGGCTTTTGTTTCAAGATTAGTGTGTAGTTAGTTCTTCAGTAAATTGACCCTAAAGGAAATCTGTTTCGAACAACACTGTTATTAATGACATAAAAACTACTTCTTACCTGCTCCAACAGAAAACGATGCTTCCAATTCATCAGTTGATTGTCCAGATATTAGAACTCGAAGGAAACGAAAAACGTTATCGTTGTAGAAGAACTAAATTACAGAAAACATGTTTCTGGGTAAAAAGTCAACGAAGTATTTAAAATTCTTTAAAAAACAGTCAAATTAAAGTGTTTGAAGTATTCCTGTAACATAAAATAAACACTGCACTTGTTATTATATATATTTTCCATGCTAGATATTCCATTTTTTCCCTACCAAAAGTGTTTTTATTACCCAAAGCATTAAATAGCGGCTGAGCTAGTCGGGTTAAAAAAACGCGTTTTGTAGGATGTGTAACCCCCTAGTTTACCCTATTGTTTTAGTGAAGTGCACACTCCTGCCTTGTTTATACACTTATTGAGAAATGAAACTTACTGAATAATAAATGATACATATCACTGACAATACTGGTTGGTACACTGTGTGAAATGAGTAACGGTAGATGTGATGATTAATACTGAGACACCTTTGCAACTAGACAGTAGCCAATCCCTTTGGTTGGTAGCTATCCGCATATTTCCTCTCAACATCTAATACTAAAATTGAAGCATTATCAGTGCACGTTAGTATCAGTTCATTTTGCCCACTTTGCACATCTGACTGGTTGCTTTCTACCAGCCCCATGAAGAATAGAAAATTACATTGGTCACCAGATGGTGACCAGTTAGTGTATAACTCTCCATTACATTCCAGTTTTAATTCCTTATATTATATACGCTGTTATATTGTCGCATAACAATAAAAACCTAATGAATATACTTGATATTTCACCTCGCAGTAAGAAAAGAATCTATAAGGCAATTCATATCACCTGCTTAGGGTAGAAACTCATTGAATTTATGTAGTTTATTAAAAGATTAAAAAAGAAGATAAATTCTCGGCATGTGTAGTATATTTGTGAAGTCGGTAGACAATTAAGCAGTCATGTCTATTTTTTAAATAGTTTTATTAAAACATGGTCGATTCCTGAAAAAGCACTGATTGTAACATTATTTTGCGGAATTTAAATGCATGTAATTTGCTTTGAAGGAATTTCTTTACTAGATATCTGTTTAAATCTAATAATTCAGTAGTATGACTACTTTTAATGTCGGTATTAAAATTTGAAAATGTACTGGCCTCGTAACCTTAAGTTTCTAGACTTGATTCCTGGAGGCGCAGGGGAGCGGGGGGGCGTAATTGTGTATTTCTGATAAATCCCAAACTAGATATTGGAATAAAACTTGTGCACTGTGGTAGAGTGTAATTCCATTATGGGTAAATTTTGTTTTGATAAAGTGTCACAGTGTTATACAGTAATGTTTACTGATGACGTTTCGAGCACAATTTATTGCTCATAATCATATCGTATATATACATATATAAAGTGACTATTCTGAGGAAGCTATTGCTGGCTGTGGTGTACGCTTGTATACGATGCAAAATGGTTCAGTGTTCATGTGTTCTAAGAGTTTAAACGAATTCTCTTGTTATTTTAATCATCATTAAAAGTGACATTTATATCTTAAATATTTTTAATTTAACAAAAGTTAATAACTTACGGAACTTAAACAGCTATATAACAAAGTGTTGCTGAAAATTATACCTCTAGCAAATGGTTCACTAAACCACACCGGCAATTTATAATCATTTTCATGTGTATCACCTGAGCTGAACAAGTAAGCATTCTTCTCATAGTCTAAAGTATATAAAAATGTTAAAAAGCGATTATCAGAATGTATACGATATACTAGGGATTATTATTCTCTGGAGCTAATCTCAGTCTTCGGAATTTTCGCTGGTTTAAATGTGGAAACCGTATTAACGCTTTATATAACATCATCGGAGCCAATCTCATAAAACACTGGAATTTTTTAATTCATCACGTAAGAAATAAGCAGTTTTTCTGCTCTCTGTGTCTGCGATTGTCCTCAGAGGCATTCAGACTTGTACTTTCAATGACTTGATATTTGACTTTCGAGTGTTTGACTTAGTCTTCGTTGAACTGCCCTGAGCACTTGGCTTGTAGTAATTTTGTCTCTCGGCCACTAATTTTTCTTTATTAATATGAAAATAAAAAAGAAGCTTCGAATGACTTCTAGATATTTCTTGTTTGTTCCCTAAAGATTGAGAGCTCCGCAGTGTTTCTTAATTGTGTTTGCTGAATTCAATGCATCGCAGAAGACGCAGTAACACCGAAATTACTTACCTGACTTACACATTTTTTGGTCATTTCGCTTATCTCACGATTTTAGTGGCAAAACTAATTGAATACATGTTGCAAGGTTGTGGAAATTCAGTAATATTAGATGAAAGCAAGAATCGTTTGAAAGCGTCATGTAGCTTAAAAAACATTCCCTTAACCAAACAGTTTAGTGATTTTGATAGCCGACCTCTGATTATGTAAGATTTCAGCCGACAGTTAGCTTGACCAACCCCTAAAGAATAAGCGTGACACACTACCTACGTTATAAACACGCGGATATGATTGTTGATTTATCATGACACTAAAATGAGGACAAATGTGAGTTTGCAGTTGGCAAGAAGCTAAATGGATCGTGTCTGACAGTTTTGCCCTTCCTACCAATATTTATGAAGGTCGTCGCTAACCGGAGTCTATTTGCTATCAATACAAATCTAAAGAGAATCGGAACTTTGTATATACCGAGGCTCTTTTTCGGTCATTTAATTTTGAGGGAATTAATTGAATGCTTTAAAGGATGCCGGATAAACATACTCACTTAATTCCGTTGTTAAATGGACTAAGTGTTGCTCCTTTTGTAGCAGTGATCGAATATTCATTGCACAGAGTAACGTGATTCTGTCTTGAAGACTTGCATCAACACATTGTGAATGAGGTTCTTCTGCGCTATAACCAAGTACTACACAAGCACTGCATTGACATAAATGCACTGAATGTAAATCATTAAAACTGCATGGATCTCCCTGTTACAAAATCAAAAATCAAAAGCACTAAACGCGTGGAAAATCAAAAATTTTGTTTTGATAAAATACTTGATAATCAACATGCATAGCCTCAGGAAGTCTACCATTTATTTGTTTCACCTATTTACAATGCTTTCCAGTCGCTAACATGTTTCGTCATTATAAATTATATAAACCTTCCTATCTCATTTCCCTAAAATCCACCATGAGGTTGTAAAAAGAATTTGTAAAGAGTGTTTCTCACACGCCTTTTGTTAATTCCGAGGTGAAGTCTTTTTATACATTCATATGTAAAGTCGCGAAGCTGGTACGTAAACTTAAGTAAAGCATAGTTTGAAAGATTCATTCTCTGGTGTCCTTAGAGTTTTGGATGCTAGGTAATGAGTTTCACAATTTCGAACAACTATTTAGTAGAGAAAATCTTAGCTTTTTGAGCCTACTATTCCAGCTACAGGTGGCTCTACTTCGTACAGCTAAAACAAGTTCATAAACAATTTAATCCTAACTGCAACCTGACCTAATCTAAGGAGAATGTGTATGTGGACAACTGCAAGTCATACGTACTGTGCAGATTACGAACCTTTATCCTGATTAACATAAAATAAAACGAACAGGGGTTTTCATCTATTTACCTACCAAGTGTAAATTATTCGCAAATATTCAACTCATCCTTAATAATGTTTACGTTCACGGTTATAACCTGAAGTAATTAATCCCCAACAGATACACAAGTCTGCTCGTAAGGATGTATTCCAAATTATTGATATAAATCATAGTCATTTACTAAAATGTAGAAATTTATACGTAACATTTCATATCAATCAGGAAGCTGAACTGTAATGAGAAATCAAAGAAATACTCAATGTCAGTTGTGCGACAGCAGTTTTAGTCAATTGTCTTTAGGTCTAAAACACATATTTATGAAATAACGGGGGGGGGGTTTATTAGCTCCGGATATGAGTGCTACTTGCAGTTAGTTTGGTTTTGGACTCAACTTTCTGTAACTTACCGCTCACCTTTTTCAGTGTGATCTGATAACTAGTGGAGACAGTAGTTATATTATGACTACTCATATGATTTTGTTTCTGCCTAGTCGTTCGACTCAGTATTAGCTATGCTAATTAACTCTTTTGTGTTAATTTCTATTGTAGACAAAACTGCATTCTGATTTGTTGATTTATAGAACTTTATCAATCACTGTAATGGCTTCCCTTGCTACAACTTGAGCTGCAATCTGCGAATGTTTTGCATGTGGTTCTCTCCCGCCAAATGTAAGATGATCCTGCAGGACTGAACTACATTGACTCTTAGCTTAGAAATAGGGAGTGAAGTGGTATAGCGTGTTGACCACTTCACTTATTTGGGAAGTTGCATCAGCCAGCGCCAACGGGTTGATCGCTGACAACAACTCATCACGGATACAGAGGGCTAGTTTCGCATATGCCACTTTAAGCCGTCTCTGGCGTAGACGTGATGTCCAGCTGGCCATCGACCAAAGGACGGGTGTACTGCTCATCAGTCCGCCTCGTCCGACCTTGATGGCTGTGAGACCTTGACATTGAGAGTGGAAGACATGAAAAGCCTGGCTAGCTCTCTTTGATCCTAGGTGTCTCCGTTTTATCTCCCGTGTTAAATGGTATAATAGGGTGAACAATATTGAGGTTAGGTGTCGGTCGAGTGCTAGGTGAGGAGGGGAAATCAATAAACGAGACTGTGAAGAAGTTACATCGATTGAGGTGGTTAGTACATATGTTACACATCCCTGACTAGCCATCGCCTTCCTCGACGGACAATCGTAGCTGACATAGGGGTCAGGTTGAAAATGAGCTAGCGGCTGTCAGACCGAAACATTGCCACATCGGTCAATAAAACCTACAACAGTTAGTTTAAGCCAGCCACGTAGGCATCTGCTGACTGGATCTCGTGGTTGGTGTCCTCGGGATGTTAAACACCACTAGATGGAGACGATTGGTGGTACGGCTCAAAATCGTTCTTGTGGCTTACCATTTCCAGTGAAACTGTATTTTTCCTTGTTATTACTATTCCTTTTGTCTGATATCCCTGTCTACTGTCTCTATTATGCATTTCTCCTACTGTCTTCTCTTGCTTTGTGTGGTACATGGAGTGTGGCTACTCGAGCTGCTGCACATCGGCGCAAAGTTCTATGTTGAAACCAGTCAGTCAGTTCCTTGCTATCGGTTAGTTTTACGGACGTCATAAGATAACCACTTTCTCTAACAATCATCAGGTTTCACTGAAGAAATTGAACAACATTTTACAGAATGCTATGTCCAGAATTAAACCAGCGAGCATAACAAATTTCAACGCAACGAAGTTTTTCTGTTTCATATGTTTCAGTATTATTGCATATAAATATGTTGACATCATTTATAGTCACTTGTTAGAGGATGAATAAAAAAATAATATTTTATTACAAAAGCAGGGTGAACCATGTTTTTCTGTTGTTGTTTTTTTACTTCGAAAATTAATATGCACTAACCAGTCCTTGCCTACGAATGAATAACTAGGTAATTTGACAGTTATTCCTATAACTTAACACGACTCTTTTGAAATATCTTCTAGCCTTTTAGACGAGTTATGATTTCTACTGTATGAGTTGGAGTTACGATAGATATAAAAAGCATCTCTTATATAGTCTGTTGCTGCTTAGTCTCCTAGTAGCAATGTCATTTGTAGTGGATGACGTTTAATTGCCAAGTAAAGAGTATTATTATCCCTTTGGGTTCCGAATGGAACACAGGACTTCAACAATAAAGAGTGACGGAATGTTATTACTAAATCAAGCTGTATCAACACATGGCGACTTCCGCGCTACAGATTATTTTTTCACATTAACTTTGTTACTATTTCCGATTGTATCTTACTAATTTATGACTGAATAAAATCAAATCAGAATAATGTACTTCTTCAGTGTTCCAAGAGGTTATCGACTTTGAGGAGCCAAGAAAACGTCAGAATGAGTGCACCTTCACTTTCTCTATCATCAGTAGTAGTGAAACACCTTCAAAATACGAAAAGAAAAATCAGTACTTCTTATGATAAATATCTTCATATTCATATTGTCTAGAAAAAGGGAAACAATCCTGCATGTCTGATAGTTTATTGATAAAGCTTGAAAATTGGAATTAAAATTCCCTCAGACTTTTGATAAATGTGATACCTAAATTTATCAGTCGTCTATAAATTCAACTTACATCAACAATGTAGATCCTGGGAGATTCTTTAGCTTTATCCACTCCAAAGGACCAATTAAATGACTGTCTCCTAAAATCACAATATCGCGAACACGCTGCCAATGGAAACGCAACGGCATAATAAAATTCTCCAAATTAAGTGGTCCATTTGTCGACTTCCCAGCGACACAAACAAGGAAATGCTTGCTAAAATTCAAACTGGCTGCTTGATTCGGGCTCTGAAATAAATATAATAATTGCAAGGCTGAATAATGCCTACAAACTTTTGATAGAATGCAGTCAATAAACTGTTTTATAATGCTGATGAATTTTTTGGGGGAAAGAGTTTGGAAGATGTTTCGAGTTCCATTCGTAGCTTAAGCTTGTCTCTATAGAAAACCTATGGGTACTAACCGAATATTGGCATGCAGAGATTTAGGTTTCAAGTTTGGTCACTTAGAGAACCACTGAAAATCAGAGTGTACTGGATAACTGTTTTGTTGAAGCTTGACACTCCAGAAATACTTACGCATTACCCCTCCGGGAATCGACCCAAGCCCCTCAGGTTAGGAGGCGAGCCTGTTGATTATTCGACCTCTGGGACGGAATACCACAGCCCATGGGTAATAATTCAGGTACTTATTATGAATTAGCTCACCTCTAATTGTATAGTTAATTATCGTTAAATGAATGTAGTTCTCATAAGTGGGATTTTAATTATGATTCGTTACATATACTACTTAATATTAATGAGTAGTACAATTTTCAAACAAAAATTTATTAGGACAGAGATAAAGTGAATTCAGGCTGTATAATTATTAATCCATTAATTAATATAACCATACAATAACCAGTAAAGTCAAATTAGAATCATATCAGAAATATATTGTGGAACAAGTATAAGATGGGATGGAACAATAGTCAGTTAGTGTCTAGTATGCATTGTCAATGAGATGAGATAATTTAATGATGTGCGTATAGATAAATATGGTCAACAAAGATATAGGTTTCGAGACTGAGTGTAGTCAGGATGTGTGCGATAATATGAATACTACAGAAAGTAAACCAAAGAATGGGGCGGACTAGACATAAGTCCACACATAGATATAAACACATTATTAAATTATTTCATCTCACGTCCTCACTGACGATGAATATTAAAAGCCAACTGACCATTGTCCCATTTACCTTATACCTGTTCTACAATACATTTCTAATATGATTCTGATTAGCCTTTACTGGCTATTGTATGCTTAAATCAATTATTGGATTTATAATTGCAGAGCCTGAAGGAGAATTTATTGAAAATAGTCGTTCGCTCTATTTTTATTCTGAAAAATTTATCACTTCGTACAAGTGAAATTTCTAGTATTCCTAGGTGGAGATAACCAGCCTCATCCTGGCACATCTAGTTCAAATTTGAAAAACACAAAATATGACTTCAGAATACTCTTGGACGAAAAACTAAACCGATTTCATCAAAAATATCAAATAACAAGGTTTCACAGATTACAGACATAGAATGTATCAGATATTTCTCCATGATTAGCTTTCTGTTGGACATCAACAAGTGGTCCAAGTCAAATGGTCTTATATTAAATCCTTCCAAATGTCAGGCGCTTGACTTTACTTTCAAGCATCGACGTGACTTACTTGAACTAGTTAACTCTCATGATCCCTGTAGCATAGATGGCACGGAAATTGAAACCAAATCAAGTATTAAATACCTTGGACTAGTTTTTTCCTCTGACCTTTCATGGTCATCCCATATCTTATCTATCTCTAAGAAAATGTTTCGTCTTACCTTCTATATTAAAAAGTTAAGACAATCAGGTATCAACCAACCTTTAGGTTTGCAATTTTTAAACTCCGGTATTTTACCTATTGTACTCTATTGCTCTCCATTAATCTTTCCTGGGCTTCTCAAAAAAGATTATATCATATTACGAAGAGTATTAAATGCTGTGAGTAGAGCTTGTGGTCTGCCACTGCATGAGCTCGCTAATACTATAGTTGAGAGGCATATAAATTCCTGTACGAAATGGGCGAAGGCTATACTGTCAGACCCTCTGCACCCCGTTTATTCACACCTGTCCCCTTGTATCTCATCAGGTAGGACGAGAAATCAATATAAAAAGTTATATGCTCGTACTACTAAGTATAGAAATTCTACAATACCCTATTTAGCCCGTATTTTATGTGATGAAGTCACTGTTAGACGTGAAACATATGTTACCGTGTAATTAGCAAAGTGAATCGACCCTCTCATTGTTCATCCTTCTGTAATTTTATGGTATCATCCTATGTATCATTTAATTATAACTTAGCGATTTTATTTTAGTTGTTATTACTATTATTACCACAACTTTCTACTTTATGAATATTTTTCTCCTTATCGCATACTGTAATTTGCTACATAACTGCTATAACTACGTTTTGTTATCATTATTATGTAATGTTTATTTTTATTTATTTATTTATTTGCCGTTTTTGAGTAAATTAGATGCAATATTGTACTGAATGCTGAAAATTCCTTGCTGTATCATTAGTACTGTTTTTGGAATAAAGCAAAAAATTATTATTAATTTTATCATTTCAGTTAACATAAACTAGTTTACAAACCAAAGTTGCCTATCACACTTAGTTTATTCACTAGCTGACAAAATATTAATGCCAGTATATTTAATTTTTCCCCCAACATAACAAGTAAATTCTTGCTGTAGTTTGCGAAATGATTGAATATATACTGATCTTTGTAAATCTTTACAATTCAGTGTTGATTCCTTATGAGTAGTCAACCCTGAGTACTGATTAGAAGTGTTTAAATGAAGAATAACAGTCAATTATCTGTCGGTAAGATGGATAAGAAGAATGAAAGTGAATGAAGTTCTTCTTTCACTCACGTTTCTGAAACACTTTCACATACAATGACTAAATGAATATTTAAAAAAATATATATACACGGACTCACTAATGTAGCTCTTGTTAATGGCATATCTGGTACCCAATGAAATGACCCAGTACGATCTACTTGGGCTATATGTGTTGGTCGTTCGGTGGGTGAGAAATTCTTGCATCTTGGTGGAATATCTTTCGGTAGTATTTGATTTCTTGAATTAATATCAGGCTTCCGTGTTTCACTGCGTCCACGGGGTTGTTCAAATAGCATATTCCTCTTATCATTCAATAAGGCAGGTGAAGTCGCAGTGAATGAATGACGGAAAAAGGATCCTGCTCTATTTTCACTTGACCATGTTTCACTAGAAGCAAACAGATATTAGTTGATAGTCATTAGCGTGCTAATAAATATTTATGATATTATTTCTCAGGAGATATTCTGAAATACATAGCGGAAATGTATAAACCACAGTCACTTCGTGCTGTGGTACAATTTCGGCTTGAATTCATGAACTTATGTCTCTTGATTAACTTAAAAAACTCAGTAAGAACAGCTTTTGTAAGATGGGATGAATTCATTTTATTTCCAGGGTTTTCGTCAGCTGCCTGCAACCTGAAATTATATAAGAGCAGAACTTGTGCACTGTGATAGAGTATAATTCCTTTATGGATAAAATTTATTTTTATGAAGTCTCACAGTGTTATACAGTAATACTTACTGATGACGTTTCGAGCACAATTTATTGCTCATAATCATATCAAGTTACTCACACAGCTTTCTAACTTCGTTCCATTATTTTCCATCGCTTGATTTGATTGGTAGTAAGACGAAGCTGCCCACTGAGGAAATTATTTTAGGAATTCAGTAATGCCTCACATCTACTATCTTTAAATACCAAGGTAAAATATATAGACAAACAGAAGGTATAGCAATGGGATCACCAATGTCCTCTACCGTAGCAAATATATTTATGGACAGCTGGGAAAATATTGCTCTTAAAACATTTAATCCTACTCCAAAAATATGGTGGAAATATGTCTATGACACTTTCACAGTGTTAAAAGTGGAACATATCTCTAGCTTCTTGACACATATAAACTCACTAGTAAAGGGAATACAATTCACATTTGAATCAGAAAGTGAACAAGGAGAATTAGTTTTGTTGGAATGTAAAATAAAACGAATAGAAGAAGGTAAACTGCACACTAGTGTTTGTAAAAAACCAACGCATTCTAATTGATATTTAAACTTTAATTTATCTCATCTGTTGTCTGTAAAGGCTGGCTTAGTTAAGTGTCTAATAAACCGAGCAGTAGCACTAAGTAGTACAAAAAAGGACCGAAATGATGAAATAAAACAGACAGGGGAAGAAGCGTTGGTGTCAAATAACTAACTATCCTATAAAATCCATTAGGAATATCAGAAAAGGTCAAAAGCAAAATAAGAGTAATGGGGAAATTAATAATGATAGCATAAATAAGAGAGAATATAAGTCATCTACAATTTTATCATATAAGGGGGGACATCTGAGACCCTACGTAGGATTCTGAATAAAGCAGGAATTAGAGTGGCATTCAAACCTACAAACTCACTCAGTGACTAGCTCTGTAGGCTAAAAGACCCGGTGGATCCAATTAAACAAAATAATATAATTTACAAAATACCCTGCAATGACTGTCAGTTAAGTCAACTACATAGGTCAAACTAGTAGGTCAGGGGTAGTCAGATTATCAGAACATAAGAATTTAGCTAAGAATGGTTGACCTTGAAAAGATAAGTAACTTAGAAAAAAGCTCAGCTATTGCACTGCATGCATTGACACACAACTACACAATAGGGTGGCAGAGGGTTAAAATTCTAAGAAGTAATCTGTGTAGGTGGAGAGAGAGATTGATTACTGAATCCTGGTTCATCGAGTCTACACCCAACACATCCAATAAGAATGACTCATCATTCATACCGGAAATGTGGAAAACAACGGAATTATATAAAGGTAGCTGTGTGAGTAACTTGATATGATTTTGAGCAATAAATTGTGCTCGAAACGTCATCAGTAAATATTACTGTATAACACTGTGAGACTTCATAAAAATAAATTTTATCCATAAAGGAATTATACTGTACCACAGCGCACAAGTTCTATTCTTATATCAATTAGACAAAGGAAGCACCAAGAATGCTAGAGAATTTTTAGGAGCCTGGTATTTCAGTGAATCGTCAATCAATAGGCGCATTGACATAAAGAAAATTTAACAAACGATAAGAAGAAAATGTCATACATAAAGCGTCAAACTTCAGGTCAAGGAAACAATCAATACCAATACAAGTAGCCTAGAGGGTGTGAAAACACACAAAAACAACCAATTACGTCCAAGTTCACCCGGAAAGATGACTAATAAACTCGTGGAGAAATCTAAAAGCTCACTTCAAATTGAAGTATGCGCTGAAGATGTTGCCCAGTAAGGCGATGAAAGCTTCTCAGAGAACGCGCCAACATCAAAATCATCCACCTGAGCTACAAATCTTCTCCATCACATCATAAGTTTCACAGTGTTACACAGTAATGCTTACTGTAAATATTAATGTATAACACTTTATCAAAATAAATTGTATCTACAATGGAACCTGAAATTATTTTTCAGTGACATTCTACTTCCTAACAGATTTCTGATCATTTTCGGTCAGTGTGATATTCTTGAACATATGCGTCGGTGGTACAGTGGTTAGGACGCTCGCCGACCATGCACATAGTCCGGAGTTCAATCCCCTGCCGACGCACACCTGATATCAATGGTCGGCTTGCGATATCACATGCTGTAAATTCCATACTTGTACGAAAAATACGGTGTGGATTCAAGCTATAATCAAAATCAAAAAATCTGATAAAAACACTAGCAGAATGCCCTCCATGAAATAATTTAACTTTACATATTAGTGCACATAGCATAAAAGTACATCTAATTTCTTAATAATGTACTTTAATTTTGACAAAGCATGCTAACATACACTATGACATTTGTTATTTTTATTGACCTTATTTAAGTAATACTTTAAATTCAATGTTTCCTGTCGATTTTTAATTTATTGATGACTTTCAACTTGGTATTGTACGATTTATATATAACATCAAGGAAAATACACTTGTAAAATGTTAAATGACTATATTTGTATAGCGTAGTTTAACTTTCGACACTACGAAGTGCCATTTTCAAAGTGACAAAGAGTTGAGAAGACAGATATTTGCATCAGGGATCACTGCTACTTGAAGGATAATCGAAACCAATAAGTCATTCATACATGTTCTTTAAGGTTCAACTTTGACCAGTATTTTGCCCTGAACTAATCTTGAGATAGAATATGCGATTTGTTATCCTCTATACAGCTGTTAGTTGTCAGAGCTTGTTTTCTAATTCTAGCCATCAGACACCGGGGTACAATCATTCTCTAATGTCTTTATCTTTATATATTTGTTTTCACAAAAGAGAGAGTCATTAAAGGATGGAACTGTTAGAAAATCTACATCTTTCAGTTACTCTAACAAATGCAATAGAAGTGATATGAATACCACCATTGTATTGCACCACTATGTTGTTTCCATTCTAGGTAAAGGCTACAAGTGTATTCTCTATGCCTTCTTAGACTACGCTCCCACTTTTGATTCTGTTCCTAGAGTACTTTCGAATTCAACAGTCCCTGAGTTCTGAATCAAGAGGTAGAAACATTATTCTTTTTCGGGCAGGGAATAGTACACTATCATCAGAAAGAATCTGTCCACTTATTGCTTACTGAAGCCGATGTGCCTCAATTTACTGTCCTGAACTGCCATATTTTTCTAAAACCAACCGCATTACGTGTCTGATAGTCTCTGTTCCAGTTGTTTCTACAGTAGACTATTTTCATATGAATAGTTTCCTACTTGAAGTTAACCAGTAGTCTTATTCAGACGCTTTGAATTTGCACCCCTTCAAATGTCAGACCGCTGATTTTAGTTTCACATGTGAGCAAGACTCGTGTGAATTGCTTCAGTCATATGATTCTTTCAATATAGGCAGCACTGTTAAAAGAAATAAACTCAATACTACTTATCTCGGTATCAGTTTCATTTCTAATCTTTATTGGTCGTCTCATATATTTTTGATTTCAAAAAATCTTTCATTTGACCTACTACAGAGACTTTCCGGTATAACTCAACCTCTCTTCTTGCAATTCACTAATTCATGTACTCTACCCATTCTTCATTGTTTCCCTTTATTCTTCCCTGGGATCCTTAAGACAGATTGTCATATAGTGTAGGGCACTGAAGGCTATCAGAAGAGTTAGTGGTTTACCACTGGCCCAACAACTGACTCTGTTATTGACAAACATTTAATTTGCACAAGCAGTTGACTAAAGTCAGCTTGTCAGACACTGATCATCATCTTTGCCTCTAACTTTCTCATTGTATCTTTTTAGGAAAACCTATCCAGCTTGTGTGTTGCATTTTTGATTGTTGTGGCAGTTGTTCGTCGTTGCTAAGTAATTGCTCCATGGTTTCTTTTGCTAGGTTTTGTCCGATGCATGTATATAATGCTGTCACGTCGAATGATACCATTATTTCTTGTTCATCTATTGGATGAAATAGGAAAACCTAAAATTTCACCAAAATTTATACCTGTACAGCTAAATGTAGAAATTGAACCATCCTTCATTTAACACGGGTGTTATATGGGAAGACAAATATTAGAAAGGGATTAATAAACCGGTTTTACAATCTGTAAATGGGTGCATTGGCGGTTCAGCCTTGAAATACATTCCAACCACGCACAAGATCAGTGGTTGAATTTCCAACAGACTCACCTCATCTAAACCTCAACTAACCGTTAGTAAGCCGGCTAACAACCCTAACCCGTAAAAACAACACCGCCACTAATGCAACTTCAAGGCCTGAAGCCCTATGTTCTACACTAAAGCAGAGGAATGAAAAAATCTGTAAATAAACGTATTCCTAGCAGTATTGTTACACACTTTAATATTCTGTTAACTTGAGTTTCTGAGGTTATGATTTTCGATAGTGTTTTTATAAGTGGAAAAATTGCTGCAATATGTAAATGTTGAAACACTATTCTATATAAGAAAAATTAATCTTTGGGATAAAGTGACTATTATTATTACGGTTAAAAAGGCAGGAGAATCGGTGCACCCAAATCACTATGACGAAATAGTTTTGCTGACTACAAGTTAGTTATTCGGTGATCTTTTGAGTAGTCATACCGTGGCGATGTGATATAGACAATGTGCGCCAACAGAATATTATTCCCACATATTCTCACAGTTCATTACTGCATTAGCAACAGAATTCTATGTATACTTGAACATTCTGTTTCATGTCGTTTGATGTAAACCGAAATCAAGCGCTCAGTCATTGGTTATATATATATATATATATATATATATATATATATATATATATATATATATATATATATATTTAAACAGGTTTGATCAATGAAAATATACCTTGGCTTTGGTATCTTGCCTTCTGTTGTTACAATACTCGTTAAATTAACTCAGTGAAACAAAAGAAAGAAGCGCAGGAAGTAAGCATTCATCTTACACACTAAAGAAACTTACGCTTTTACAGCATTTTCTCTTGCCTGTCCTATTTGTTCATAAAGAGCCAGGTCTAAAAATAATTATGACAAACGGATTGTTAATAGATAACTAGCGTCAGTGTACATCCATTGAGAAACAAGATAAAGAAAAAACATATTTAAATTATTCCAAAAATGACCTATTAGTGAAATAACTTACAGAATTTTATAGCTAAATTCACGGCAGAATACAGGTCAAATCAGTCACAGATGTGTCATTATCAGGTTTGTTAGTACTTTGAGCACTAACTTCATTAAGAAGCGAGGTATAGAAACTGGATGCATGACTTTTAAACTTTGTACAGTTATAATTAAAGGATGAATTTTAACGTCGTATGACTTTTGACCTTAAGTTCCAATGGGTTATGTGAGGACTGATTCCGTGTTGGTGTTACTCATTGTCGTTGTATTTCATTTTCTATCCAATTAATGGATTTTTAGTTCACTAACTTTGAGTTGATTGTCGTTTTTTGCAGGTTGGACTTATACTTTGTCCATGACTAGGCGACTATCGATCGCACTTGCTTTTGAACTACATTCTTCTACAAATTCTCTTGTTGCCAGTGCTTTTGCGCTTTGTAGGTCAATAATATTCCGCAGCCGAGTGTGTGAGACCAAAGGTGAAGCATTATGTCTTCTTACGGCCATCTGATGCTCCAGAATTTCTACGGCAATTTCCCACATCATCTTGAGCCATAAACCTTATCTTTTGTTAAATACTGAAGTTCATAAATACTGAAGTGTTCCATGTAAGTGGTGTTTCTCTCAATTAGCTTAATACTCTGATGAAATATGAAATCATTACTGGTGCTTGAATTCAGAACTTCATTTTTACACAGTAAAAAGCTAATGATTTGTAGCATTTAGACGTGGTCACGCTGACAACCTGTATGAGTCATTTTTGCTTTACTGCCTATGAATTTTGTTGCAGGCGTTCTACCAGCATATTATTGTATGCCTTATCAAGCTTATTCCAGTTGTTTTTTTGGACAATGATAAGGCACTAACAGTTGTATTATATGATGGGATTTTCTGCTAGCAGAGTAGCTGTCATTAAGCACTTTATAATCACCACTGGAATAGTTCATCCTGGTGGCAAGTCACAAGCGTATTGTTCTTATCTCTAGTCTGAGTAACTATCGGCTTCGATAAATGGGTTTTGTCACTAATCTAAAATACATGTTGACCCTTAAACAAGATAAATTCTTCCCTTATCTTTTCATTTTTCTCTGTTTGCTACTGTTCTCACTTAGAGCATAAGCCAACGGTCAGTTATTTCTTGCTATCGTTAAATATGAAATCAAAAGGGAATGAGTGAATTTCACTTAGATTTCAAAAATCTAATATTCACCTACCATTTTAATGTTACAGTAAGATGAATCCAGCGAATGAAATTTAGAATAATGTTCACAAACCAGTTTTACGTGTAAAATTCTTACAAAGCTTCATGGATGTAGAAAACTGGTGAGTTTATGTGTCATAATTCTGTATCAGTTCGGTAAAATCAAACTGGAGCTCAGGTGGATGTTTTAGAGGTGGCTACTTTTTCTGAGCTGAATAGTTTAATTACGAAGCTTTTAGTGTCTTTCTGGATAACACCTTTAGTGCTTATGTCAGTTTTAGATGAACTTTTGGAAATTTCCACGGGTGAAAATCCCCGGAGACAGCCAGTCACAGTCGAGATCGCCAGACATGATAGACATCGCATGTACATAAAGTTTTATATAAGATAAGCTGAAATCATAATTGATCACCAAATAGCGAATTCCTCAGTTGTTACTTCTAGTTTACAGTACTAAACCTTAAAACAAAATTATCTAAAATTATAGTTGTTTCGCATTACTTTAAATGAGCCTAGCCTACTCTATACTTTTCCTTTTTTCGTGGACTTCTACTTCCTCATCTGTTAAGTTATTAGTAATGCACTGTTTTATTAAGTAATTCTTTTCCTTTCCCCATAACTTATCACTTATTTCATTTTGATTAAATAGTCTATATTAGCAGCTTAAGTTGTGAAAATTCTGTCAATTTTATTGTTCTCCGTGGGTTGGGTTTCCCTGGCAAGCTTCCAACGCCATCTTCAGTGCTACACAATTAAGGACTTTAAAAATTATTTATGGAGGCTTTTGTTTGATATGTGAATGAACACTACCAAGCTTTAAATTTAAATCATGAGCACTTGGAGTGGAACTGAAGCAAAAGTTATCAACGACTAATTAGTTCAGTTGGTATTTTAATGAAATCTAGTGCATCGAAATCACGAAATATGGCATAATTAACATTTTACGAAGAAGAGTGTACTCAGCTCACCTCTAGCTATCGTCAACTTTCTTCTCTTTTCTAATACGGGTCGTCTGCATCTACACGGTCGGCCAATAAGATGTCCTTCGCATGTAACGCAGTAATACTGCAAACTTATTAATAAAAAAAATTATAAGTTAGAGCAAAGCTGTTTTAGACTACTGCTAATCAATAAATGATTATTTACATCAACACCATTAACACTTTATTGAAACAGGGTCTCTAAGTACAGTTCATTTTAAACAGATTACCTCTTTGTCGTAAAATAAAAGTTTTATTCTTCAAGACAAGGTTAAAAAACTTCACTAAAATTCGCATGAAAAAAAGCCATTACTATAGTTCTTTAACAAATCTTGAATGCTATATACAAGTTTCAATTTCCTAATAAGAAACTCAAATACGAATACTGAAATCCGGAAGGAATTTGAGTTTCTCCTCTCTGATTCTTCCTACTTTTTTATCTTTACCAACTCTTCTACAACGAAGAAATCGACTACAAATATATTGTCATCCATACTTCTTCAAATTGCACTTTCGGACAACGCCACTCAATATCACTTGGGAGTATCTATTATCAAACTCGATCTGACAAATTGCATCTATTAGAACCTGAAAAAAATTCACCATGAAGAAACTAATGAGTATAAAAGTTTTACTCAGTAAACATTTATTTGTTTACTTGCTCTTGTAGGGCAAAACATATTAGCCGTACACAGCACTAAGTCTGTAAATCCAATTCAAAACTATGCTCAGATTGTAATTTCTCATTAATTTGCGTATTGGATATATTTTCAGGAGTTTGTTTGTATGGATTTAATTTATCTCAAGTTTGATCATGGATTGACATCAGTTAGAGAACCATTGGAAACCAGAGAGTACTAGTCGGCCGTTTCGTCCTAGTTTGAGACTCTTCGGTAGTAGGTTCCCTGGTTTGCAAATCAAATTAGTCCGTGATCAAACTTGGAAAATATCAAATCCATACAAACTCTTGCAAATGAGTCTGATGCTCATCAGTAACGAAGTTTCCTGAGCTTCTAGTGATAAGTCGTGAACAATGGGCCTCACCCAGTTGGGAGTGAAGACAATTACTTGCCGAAGACATTGACTTGTAGTGGCGATAAGATCACGAATTTGTGGAAGTTAGAATTGATGGGCCGCTTAGCCGCGTCTCAGTGACTGAATGGTCTACGAGCTTGAATTGTAACTGGAAGGTCATGGATTCGAGATCCAGTGAGTGCGTACTGGATATATCACACAATAAGACAGGGCTCTTTACTGGATGAAGTCTCGAATACAATTTGTTGTTCCTGACTGATATGATTATGGACAAAAAAAACGCCACCGAGTAACTAATACTGTTTCATCCTGCGGTATATTCCACAAGCAAACTAATATGGAATTGAATACTATCAAGTGACTAAGCTTTACACATGTTATTATTTAGCTTGGTTAGCCAGAAGAAAGAAAAATAATATTAGTAGCTGTATTTTCAACTCAAAGCATTTGACCCTTTCGGATGATTGCTTCAAACAAATGTGTAGCTGTCTGAAAATTTTCGGATTTAAATTTTATCTTTGTGTTGGAAAATAATGCATACACTCACTGGTCTTAAAACGAGAAATGTAAAATTTCGATGATAACTTTTCTATACTTCCAATTATTTGTATTCTGTGGTTTTATTGTATCACACTTTTCCCATAATTATTTGGGCTAAACAGCTTGCCCACTCGCTTTTATGTCCACAAATTGAACATTCAGGTTGAATACATCTTCTGTCACTCAGACTTCACTAATCCATTCTCTTCTCAACTACTCCTCTCATTGCACAAAACATTTTCTCTAATACGCTGTCATGATTTCATGAATTTCCTCATATATCTAAATGCTATTACAATTATATAGCTCGTAAAAATGATGCTTTGTTAAGAAAACTTTATTCGCTGTCACAACCCTTTTTCATGACTCATCATAGAATCTTTCTGCTCTTATTCACTTGGTCAGATTGTAGAGAACGGTCTACTTTCAAGGAGTTCTTTTCACTAAGTCGAGAAGACACAAACACTTTCTAGGAAAACTACATAAAAATCGAATAATTCTGATCAGGCATTTACTTTAATGCAGAACTGTAATCATTGGAAATAACTATTGCACGCATTGAATTATTGTTCACCGGACAGTTTACTTCGATAGGATTTATTATCATTGAAGACTTCTCTAATCCATTCATGCGTACAGCCAATAGGATAACGTTCCACTTTTCGTAAACGAATCTAAAATGTTGACGACAAAAACATTAAACAGTGAGAAAATCTTATTGAATAAATTGTCATATTTACTGATGAACTGATTGTAATAAGATGTATGATTCAAGCTATAAGTTTTTCCAAAGATAGGTATAAGGTCGAAACAGTTTTGATCAGATTAGGTATAGATAAGTTGAAAGCTCTTTTCTGTACTGTGTGTAAATGTTTAGGATTTTCACGTCCGTCTTTACCTCAAGATACCGTGAACATATCCAGCCTCCAAGCCTATCAAACGACCAGTTGTTTAAGACAATCAAAAAAGGGACAAATTCCCACCTCATGTTACGCCCAACTGTTTCTACCAATTTACATGTACGTCCGCATCTCTGAACACATACCAAAACACCTGAGACAAAGTGGTCACAAGCATTAAACGGTGCGATTGCACGCCATCTACTCGACACTGGTCATGTTGTGGGCGATCTGAAGGAGTTCAAAATAATCAATGGACAAAAGAAACCTAGCCTACCTCGTTTTACTGAGGCAGTAGCCATGAAAAGACTGAAATTAAATCTATGTAAGCAAAAAGAGACTGGTGAATCTTGCACTGCCTTGGAGATAACAAAGCATGCAAATTTCACTACGTCATGTGTCCTGTTTAAGAATCTTGATTTTTTTTGTCTACACATGACTCATCCTACCACCTTTGGTCTACTTAGTAAAAAACGTGATTTTTCTGTGGTTACATAATCTATTACTATATATACTGTTTCTAGTTAAACTTTGTTTCTACCCAAAAACATCTGTTGAACTCTCTCCTTTGTTTCCAAGCTTAGTCATGCAGTTCTCCTATAAACAGTCGACCGTTTTCGCTCTTAAATATTTAAAAACTTACATCATTCCCGACCAATGTTACTTCTAGTTTCAATCACTTATTCCTTATCATTGTAAAGAAAGTATGTTCAAATCTCTAATGTAACTTATAATTTTGGTATTGTTCAGAATGTAACCATTTGAGAAGAATCCATGAAATAATAAAAATAAAAATTTGAGCTCTGGTTGTCCTGGTACAATTGTCGTTCTTGCTTTATTCAAATTTATTAATAGGAAGAAGTGTGTTCAGTTTTTAAATGAATTCTCATTGACATCAGGTAAAAAAGCACAGAAAATGGACACTATGGTCGATCCGCTTATATGCAGAGTTACATCAACTCTATATGCTGACAAAATATATGAACAGATACAAAAGCCACTCAGTATCAACCATAGTAACAACAAGATCATAAATGTTTATCATTGGATTATTATTGTAATGTCCAAAACGCCTCGCAATAAGTCTCTACTTATATTAGAAGTGTTGGAAGAGTGGTGGTTTCAGAAAGTTGCAGAATTCAACCATAAGCACTTTGTTTACAAGCAGAACACACACACTATATATGTATATATATATATATATATATATATATATGCTCTGCTTTAATTACTTAGACATTAACGTCAGCAACCAGCATGGTATTAATGCTCAGAGCAGAATGATTGGCACAGAAATTAAATGCTAGATAAGCTTGGGCTACATTTTATTGGTTTAGATTCGCTAAAGGAGCTGAATCCAGTCAGACAGCCTGGAATAATTAATACACCAAGGGGTACACTGTCCACTCGAAGAGTCTTTACAATGTTGTTATGCAATGACAATTTCAACAAGTTGCCTGCTAAATATCGATCATAAGTTTTATACATTATAGTCCTTCTGATATAAAAATAGAAGTTAAGCAAGTTATTCTTTTGCTCTGTACCCTTTAATACTATCTGTACATATAATGTAGTTACTTCATGACGCTCAGAAAAAAAAAGTTTTACTAGTAACTGCATGGAGGATTTAATCATGAGCTGACATCAGTTAGAGAACCACTGGAAAACCTGGGAGTACTGGACAGCCGTTTCGTCCTAGTTTGGGACTCCTCAGCAATACGCACCCACCGGGATTCGAACCCAGGACCTTCTGGTTACAAGGCAAGCTCGTAGACCATTGAGCCACTGGGACCTGATCCAATGGTCCTTGAATTCTAACTTCTGCCAGTTCACGACATAGCGCGACCAGGCGACCATGCAATCAAACAAAATCCCTACAAAAACCAATACTTGAAAATTTTACTAGTAATTTCAAACCAAAGAATAAATAATTAACGAGTTCGATTTAAGCTTACATGGCTAGGTCTCTCATGAATAAATTTGCGAATTCATGACTAATACCAACATCATGCAGTTGCATACGAAATCCATATTCATATTCTTTTCTCCATTGCTCATACTAAAGAACCAGTTAAGAAAATAAAATGATTTGAAGGCTAAAATTAATACCACAGTACAACTCAAATACACTTGAGACAATGAATTATGGTCAGTATTTCTGAAATATCATCCTCAAAATAGGCGAGTAATAACCATAATAGCTCAGTGACAAGCTTTTCAACTTCCTCCCTAAGTTGCCTGATTAAGAACAACTCTATAACCATAACTTACAAAATCTTAGATGATCAATTTTGTAGGCCATCAACGAATACTTAGTTATAGTCTGCAGCATTCTGTTGACTGATTTCAGAGTTACGTATATAAAAGCGATCTGCAACAAAACTTAACCAGTAATCAGTCGTTCTTGTAAATAAACTGGATTTATGCTGATAGATATTCAGTAGTGTCATACACTTTTCTCCCTACTCAGCGCAGTCTACAGCCAATGCCTGAAACATGACCACTAAGTAAACTAGATTCAATTGGAATAACAAAGAATCACAATTTTCGGTAATTGATAAAAGTCAATACTCTGAACGTTAATTCAGTTATATGAAAAACTAAATAGAATAGAATATCTTAATGACAAACTGTCATACAGTAACTTAGGTACTGCGTCTAATCCCTTTTTACTATTTCTCCATGAAATTACTAATAGCTCTGAGACAACGAAAATTATGGATAACTCTGTCTCATTACAATCTTCCATATAGGGGTAAATTTTCTGACGTTCAAAGTGTTTTTGTTACTATTTCAAAGTCCAATAACTTATCCAATATAAATTTAAAATACCAGTTTAGTGGTTCCTTCTATGAGTGGTTATTTTACCCTGAGTTAAATTAGCTATCACAGTTTATCTTCTGGGCTCCTTCAGTCTAGTAATTAGAAATATATACCAGGAAGCATTCCATCCCTAATCTGACACTGCTTTCGAGTGAAAATGAATAAAATCAAATCATGGAAAGACGATTTATTTTTCAAGTGCATAACGAAAAGTGAATGGCGGACCGATTAACAGAACCATTTGGAGCTATAAAGTGGGCTGAGAATGTATTCAGAGCAGTTTGTTAGAAAGTTCAAATGTTTGAAAAAGCAACAGTGATGATCATCTCGGAGTGAAACTGCTTCAAACCAGTAATGCTAGCTTACGAAACACTTACAGTTCACTAGTTATTTAGCTTTCATTACCCTTTTTATTCGTTAGAGTCAATTAGAGTTAAATACAAATAAAGCGCGCATCTTACCTCAAATATCCTTGATTTGCTTCCATGTGCATTCAAGAGATTGACTATCAGTGTTGAAAAGCCTGGTGCTAAGCAATTGTAAGCCATCAAACCCAATTTTAACTCTTCCATGCAAACCACCATATCGTTTGCTAAATAGGTCCAACGCGGAAAATTGTTCATCAGGCACTGAAAACAAATTGATTCTCATGTAAAAGAGATCATGTGACACAAAGTGAAAAGCAGAATTTTATTAAACTACAATGTCTACTATATGGTGGGGAGGCAGAAAGATTATCACCTTCCTTGAAATGTTGTAAATTGCTTCTTTGCTTATAGCATATTGGATCGGTAGGCCAAAATTCTGAAAAAAGACACCATTATACATACACAGGAACCTACGGTAGCTCTCAAGTGTACACTGTCATTCTTCTAAGCTTGTGGCATAGTTGTAGGTTCATGTTCAAACACAATTCCTCTTTTTTGTAATTTAAGTATTTCAAATGTATTATAGCATCTAAGTATGAAACAATAAGCTGAGGGATAGAATCAAGAAGATACATAAGCTCTTATAGAATGATTTGTTTTGAAGTTCAGAATTTTAAAAGGAAACACATGTCTTATTCAAAGTTCACAAAAACACTCTGTTAAACAAAGCAAGCACTGCTAGACGAATGTAATTAGGAAAAATATAATCTTTAAATCACCTAATTATATCGAATTACTTATGTGCCAAATAACACTTGTGAACACATGGCGTTTTATCATAGCTAAAAAAATATTTAACTAGAGACATTCTATAGAACTGTAACTCCACAATTATCCAGGAAACAAAATTATTAAAAACAACTCGGAATGGACTAAATAAAAGGCACTGCACAGGAAACATAACTGACTTATCCAGATCATATTAAAGTTTAGATGAAATCGTTACAACAAATAAAGAAATCAGTCACGTAACCACATATTAAAGACAATGGATTTTAGAGTTGCATTTCAGCTTTGAAAGCTTATGGATATAGCTACATCTCTGGAACACAGTAACATGAAAAATTTTCACATCTCACTGAGCTACACAAACGCATCACATACCCACGAAAACACGTTTTTGCCTTTCACAATGATATAAAATAAATGATACACACTGGTTTTGTATGTACACATTCTAAAAATAGAGTTCAAATCATTCCTTTTATTGACTAAATAATGGTGTAGTCTTTGTCCTCAGAAGACTGTTTACACAATAAAGTGGAATAACAGGAGTTTTATTAACTCAACTTTCATCGAGACAGATGAAATCCACTGACATGTTTAACAATCTACAAGCGAAGTGAATAAAGCATTTATTTATTTTATTTTATTTATTTTTTTTTTTGATTTACAGCTTGATTCCACACTGTATTTTCGGTACAAGTATGGAATTTTCAGCATGGATATCGGTAGCCCAAATTTTGCAGGCCGACCATAGATATCTGGTGTGCGTCGGTGCGGGCTCGAACCCCGGACCATGTGCATGGTCGGCGAGAGTCCTAACCACTGTGCCACCGACATCTTTGTCCCTTTGCATATATATGTATACATAAGTAGGTTAAAAGAAGTTTGTTTATTATTCGTCAAACCTCTAAGGAAAGTATTTTCTTAGAGGAACACAGTTTCTCGGTAAGGAATACTTCTTGAAATGATCTCAGACATCAGTTCGTTCCAGTAAACATTTCTTTCAAATAAAATGGAGTGATTTTGGACTTTAGTGAACTCAAAAAACTACCTATTTTGAACACTTACCTTGTTTCTGAAATTATGAAGCTGTAGAATGACACGTAGATTTTTCTTTCTAGCTTTCAATGCAATAGCTTGCATAATATTTGCACCATCTTCGTCATCACGGAACTTTGTATTCGGCGTTGCCAGAACAATTGCAGCGCGCGCCTCTTTCAACTTGGTTCTGGCTAAATCATGAGGATTATTGGGTGTGCCGACAAAATAACGAACCCATGCGTGATAAGGACTAAGAATTGCTTTCAAAGCATAATCTAGTGGTAGTCTTAACAAATGTATATGAAAAATATGTGAAAACGGACTTACACAATGTGAAAGGAATTAAGGCGTGAATTAATAATGGTATTAATAACAATAGCTCTATTCTAGAGAAAATGTATACACTTGGTGGATGGTGGCTAGCAGTGGAATCCAGGATGCGCATTTCGTCCTATTTGGGACTCGTCAACTGGATGTACCTGCATTTCTCAGTGAGTGATGATGTTCCCATCGAGGCTCGAACCCAGTACCCATAGTTTCACAAGAGGTGGCTCTCGTGGCCCAAGTGGTCTAGTGGATAACGCTTCGGCGTTTGAAACTATGAGTACTGGGTTAGAGCCTCGGTGGGAACATCATCACTCACTGAGAAATGCAGGTACATCCAGCTGACGAGTCCCAAATAGGACGAAATGCGCATCCTGGATTCCACTGCTAGCCACCATCCACCAATTGTATACTAACTAAATGCCCGGACATCGTCGAAGCATCTGCACAAGGAGCCGACATGTCAACCTGAGACCGAGCACTTCGGTCCAATCAATCGAAGGGAAAAACAAAGATTCAACTCAATAAAATGTATACACAATATACAGAACTGATGCTAATGAACGAGAACAGGTAGGCGAATGAAATATCCCTTTACCGACAATAGTTTCGTGAAACTTTGCCCTCATGCCCAGAAACATCCAGAAGACACCCGTAGTAATTCACCATTGCTTAAATAATTATCGAGTTAAAATAAGAAAATACATTCTCAAATTCTATTTAAATTATCAGTAAGCACTTCTCGCATGTTTTCACTGCACCAGAGTCTGCCACAAAGATTTCGATGAGTAACGCCTAAGCACCATAAAAAACTCAAATCAAAAGAAAACTGAATTTTACGTCGACATGTAAGGGGATATTGTAGGTAGTCTTTCAGAGTCTATATAGTAGAAAGAAGTGACATACATTGTGATGCTGGAGTTCTTCATTTGTTTACCTGACTACATTTGCTTACCGTCATGAAGATCCCATTTTTAAGGGAAGAAATCCCAATTTCTCTTTGATCTGACCTTATCTCTTTCTCATTACACGAGATTTTTCTACTTCTCAAATTTATTCCTCTCAGTAAGCTTCCAAGAATATCTGCAATACTTCAGGTTAGTCTTTAAATTATTTTAAAATTATATTCACTTTTGGTTACTGCTTAGTTAATAGCAAATCCTCACAACTGCGATTACTTCCCAATTCAAAATCAATAAATGCCACAACTTACGGTCTTAAAAGTACCATGTTTATTCTTACACGTCCTTTGGCCTGGCATCCATAAAGAAAACCTTTGATAAAAGCTCTTATACTATAATTGTCAAAATTCCCACAAACGATGACATGTCTATAAGGAAAGGAAACAATGAAGACGAAAAAAATACAATAATGCTACTGAAAATTAACAGGCTTCACAACAGTAAGAACATAAACACTTATTTACTCTGCAACGTGGAATGTAACTAGGTCAAACTGAAAGTGATGATGGGTGGAGGCATGTGACAAGAAGCCATAGATGTACACCTCATGCCTGTTGATACTTGTCAGCGAGGCGCATCTGCGACCCCTCTGAAATTCGAACCCACGTTATCCAGTGCTAAAGCCAGAGATATTACTGTTGAGCTGTTCACTATAGCTTGCTGACCACAATGCAAGTCTAACTAACGAATGACACTGGTTACTCCCCAGTGAATTAAGTTATCGCATGTATTATGAGACCGAGGGGCAGCTTTGTTCAAGTAAAAGAGTATTTTTCGCCTAGTTAGCTATACCTTTTACTAATAACTAGTTAGTTTCGAAATAAGCCAGTTGTTGGATTTATGGGAATTTTTAATTGGTTTAGTCTAGAGCCAACTTTATTTGGAATGGGTTACAAATCATAGAATAACGATGAGGTGTTTCCTCCTATTTTTTGCGTCATCAGTGCATATTTTCAGGCTGAAGGTATATATATATATTTACCGACGTTATTATGAATGAACACTAATGAGAATTCATGAGACATGGAAGTAAAAATGTCGAATTTTCATATTTATCACATTCGGTTAGCTATATTTGTTATTAACATGAATAACTGAAACCAGTTGAAGTGATTTTAGACTGATTGGCATATTCCAAAATGGCTCCAGAAACGAATGGAATCATCAGAACCTATTAACGGTGAGAACAGGAGACCTAGCTCTTCGACTGCGAAACATATTATAGAGACAGGTCATAAAATTGATGTTAACAGATCTTTTAAACCTATCTATAAAACGTGTTTGGGGCGTATCCTAAAGTTTGTAGAAGCCCTAGGAATTAGAAAGTTCAAGCCACCTTTATGCGTTCAAAAAACAATTTGTCGTCACATTAAACCTTCCTTGGTAAATTTTGGTTTGATACCATAGCAGATTACCTCTGCTATTTGGTTTAGTGGTCTTCGTTGTTATTTTGACCTTGAATATGTCCTTTTAACTTGACCTAAGTCTATTTTTCTCACCTCTTACCTCTTTGTTAATTTCATATATATTCCTGTGACAAGTCCGTGTGTGATCAGATTGTTCGAAATGTGTTGTGCAGATACATTACACGATTCAGACAAATTACGTCTTTTTATTGCTTTATCTGATTGGTTAACGTTTTCGTGGTAAGATAATGACTGATAATGTTTTAAAAATTCATACTACTTCAGGAATTGTAACAGAAGCTTCCGAATTACTAGCTCTGTAAAGTTTCCACTGATCTGGTCCCAGTTTAACTCAAACCACACAGAGTTGTGGACAATACAAAAATACCCCGGGTCTTGTTAACTGTTCTGTTGTTTTCGCATCAAGATCGAAACCTTACTAAAATAAAAACTGTTTTTTGAAAGCATAAATGAGATCATTTACCAGTCAAAAGATCGTAATACTGAATGATTTCAAACAAATAGCACTCCATTTTTAACAATTTTCTAAGATAAAATCAGGAATCAAATAACATTATTTCAAAAAGTTTATTTCCACTCTCATTTAATCTTTAATAAAATGATAAATGAAAAAATTATCAGGTGATCGGATTAGCCTTTGAACTTAACTGACAGTTAGATTTTATATCTGGTTTGTGTATGCTAGACTAGGATGTCTCATGGTCAAACTTTTAATGTTCATATTGCACTTAAGTTCGAAAAACATCTATTATTGTCACCATTAAACTCACAGTGAAATAGGTATTTTTCATTGACTTACCGTTCACCAGAAATTGGTTCATATCGGTCGGATGAGTTGGCATAATTGTTATTGAAATTACGGAATAGTTCTGGCACGAAACTTGCAGAAACACCCTGTAATCACAAATAGAACTTGGCGATGTAAAATGCCCATGACATAGTATATATATATATATATATATATATATATATATATATATAAGAAGTGTAATTAACAATGGGGCTGGTATGTGACTTCTACCTAGTATTTGATTGTCATGAGCTCCTTTGTTCCAAAATTAACTCGAGTTGAACCTATGTACTGCTTCCTCAGAAGTGAAGAATTCAAATTAGTACTCTCTTGTAATGTGTGCGTTTATACAACTGTTTTTTTGAAAAATTCATAACTAGAATATTCCTATAATTTATTCAGAACAAAATAGTTAGGACGAACGATTTTTTCCAATAAATTCTTGTTCAGGCTGCGTAATTATAAAACCATTAATTAATTTAAGCCAATAAAGGCATATTAGAATCATATCAGAAATGAATTGTGGAACAAGTATAAGACGGGATGGGACAAGAGTCAGTCAGTTTCTAATATGCATAGTCAATGAGGACATGAGGCGAAATAATTTAATAATGTGTTTATATATATATATATATATATATATATATATATATATATATATGAACTTACGTCTAGTCCACTCCATTCGTTGGTTTACTTTCTGTAGTATTCATATTGTCTCACACATCCTGACTATACTCACTCTCGAAACCTGTATTTTCATTGACTATATTTATATATACGCATATCATTAAATTATTTCATCTCATTCTGTCCCATGTTGTTACTGAACATGCATATTAAAAAACTATATGACTATTGTTCCATCCCGTCTTATACTTGTTCCACAATTCATTTCTGATATGATTCTAATTTACCTTTACTGTCTATTGTATACTTAAATTAATTAATGGATTTATAATTATAGAGCCTGAAGAATTTATTAAAAATTCATAACTGTTTATAATCTCTGACTTACTGAATAAGTGGAAGATAAGTTTATATACACAATAAAAATGTAAATATACACTGGAGTTTTGAACAGTTTTCAATTTTACAAGAGTATATTTGTACGTAGAAGGAATGATTATCAAAAAATTAGGTTGATATATAGAATAGACTGTTTATGCCTTCGAAACCCGGTCTACCAGCAAAGTTATACCAGCGGGATAGGAACAGTTTAATTAAATGTACCTCTGCATCTTTAACTAGATGACAGATTCCAAAATTACGTGGTCTATTTCTAAATAACATAATGAACGTCTGTTCACAAATCGAAGTGATGTGAATAATGAGTATATTTGACTGTGCCAAAATGTGAGAAATATCTAAGAAAACAGTGCAACTTCTGCCCAATTTGAATTTCATCCATTTAGTCTAGTTAAATAAAGCAAGTTCCGGGGAATCAGTGTTAATCAGAATTTGTTGAAATACACTGCTGGGAAAAAAAACCAAACAGTGAATTCTGTAGGTGATTACCAATGTTTACTTTCAATTCTTTAGTGCTTATTAAAGTGCGTCAACTATCTAAGTGGAACAAGATTATTATTCACCGTATTTTGATCTGAAATATTAAGAGTAAATTAATTCACTTCTTAGGTTTAACACCATATCACAGTCAGTCTGTCAGTGATGGGTAGAACAGATCATATAGTAAAATAAGTATGTGTTGGACACGGGTGGGGCAGACTCTTGTCGTCATCAGAACAGTTCTCCCAGTCTAACATTTATCTCTTATTAATTTTTTAACTTTATCATGTCTTAACTAACTTGAAATTAACGGGAAATATGGAGAAAGTTTCTTAAAAGAGATTTCAGTTTTAAGAGACACCTTCTGTTATCGTAAAATTACAGTATTTACTGTATTACAATAGTTAAAATGTAAATGTTTTTATAATAATAATCTTAATTATGCTCTAAAATGTCGTCTAGACTTAGCTGTTTTTCAACAAAACGCTTTTCTAGTTTGTTAATTTCAATGACTGACTTTTTATTATTTAACAAAATTATTTTATACATTAATAAACCAGACAGGTCATATTTCAATCAAAATGCGATAGAGTTAACTACCACTTTTTTAACATTTTAATTGTTTTTAACTCTCTCTTGCCTTTTTCAAATATACGCATTCTCATTATAATAATGGTTAAAAATCATATATTAACTTTTTAAGTGAGTGAAGTGCATGAATCGAATACATTTCAAACAGTCATCTTGTCACCTATGGCAGTGAAGAAATGCATCAGATCACTAGTTAGACAATTAAATGAAATCATGAAGTCATTGTTAACACTTTCCAGTGGTGAAGTGAAGATGGTTTTTGTACTTTACCATATCCGAACTTAAATCATACCCACTTGTAGAAACTTAAGAACAGTTAACCAAATAAGTAACAAATGTTTATCAAAAAGCCTCATCAGTACAAATGGTGTTTTCTGAATTTTCACAGAGTTATAAAACACTTAGATGATAATGTATTTGTTTACTATATGACATATATATATATATATATATATATATATATATTCACATACACATGAAGACTGTCTTTATAACTTGTTGACGTCACAGATTCCATATTAATTCGTCCCTTGGATTTATCACATTGTGGAAATAACTGAATGACCGTAATAATCTGACACTCTCTAATGAATCCAGCAATAGCACACAATTACTATTATTACTATGTATAAAATAATGAATTGTGACAACTATAACCTTTCAGGTATTGAACTGTAGATTCATTATAACAAACAGACGCGGATAGTAACCGCTAACAAACGTTAAATTAATTTTATCCAGTGATGCGATGAATTTCAAAAGTAAACTACGACTTTTACTCGCATAAACATGCAGTGTATGGGAAAAGAAAGTGACCTTCAAGACTATCATTTTAAGAACACTAAACCTGATATACGGGATATTTTTCAGAATGCGAGTGTTCAGTAGGAAAAAATTACATATTAGTCTGTCACTAGAACACATGTCTACCTTTCTTTAAAGCAGGATTACTACAAAGAAATAAACCAGTTCTCTCGTACACAAGTGAACATCAACAATTAAGACTTACTGACTTTGACAACACTTTACATTGAAATTGTTATCTTCAAATAATCAGTATTCTGTTTAAGTAGTCACATCTGATCATTGTCATATAAAATAGACGGGAAAGAAAATTGTACTTTATGCTTATGATCTTTAGGGTTATGCCTAACTGCTACCCATACAGTTATGATACATGATCACTTTATTTCTCCTTGTTTAGCTTACACGTAGTCTATGTTTCCCGCAATTTGAAGTTTGAGATATTTCGTTCATTTGAGATATTTGATGTAAGAGTTTTCCCACTATGCTATAAATAGCCGTAACTATGCTGAAGAAGAAGGAGGATTTGACTATCTACTCTTATTTGAAAACTGATCGAGTTGCACACACTTTTACGTATTTGATTTTGACTAGATATTGCTTCGAGGTATTGTCTCATATAATCTGACTTATGCTAAAATGAGCAAAAGTGAAAACCAAGCCACCAATTAGTGTATTTAATGAGGAATCATACTTCAGCCTAGTCTAATTTATTATTTCTTTAGTTTACTAGTAGGTCCTAAGCGCAGAAAAACAAGGGGAGGTTTGGCATGGAGCTAGCTATCCTACCCCAGAAAATTAATCCAGTCGCTAAAAAAACCTCAAAGCACAGGAGACAAATAATGAAAATAAAGATAAAAAATAGTGATAGATACTTAAATACTACTTTGCTACTTCTCTCAGCAAAATAAAACTCTGAATTAACAATTTCTACGAAATTTCTTAGTTTTTATGTTTCGTTATCATCATTCCTGGCATTATTCCACTCCAGTTTCTGAAATCCCTTATCTAAATTGCTTATGTTTATTGGAGATTATTTGGATTGTTTATAGGAAATGACTGATCCTAGTGACATTTTCGTCATTTGCTCATTAACGACTAGCTTTGAGATGGATTATTTGAAGAAATACGGGGGAGTTGTGACCCAAATAGGATATAGGGGTGGCGATGATACCCTACCAATACAGTAGGAATTACTTGGTATCAATGGTCAGAAATGTTTTCATCTTATGACCTGATAATTTGAGGCATGATGTCTTGGTAGACCACTGAGCAGCCTTGTTGAAAAAGATCAAGAAATTGCAAAGTAGTTCTGCTAGTTTTTCGGTGGCTTTGTGGGTGATACTTTTTCTCACTAGAGATACATTAAAATCATTTTACAGCACCACTTAAAATGCCAGTAATAAAAAACAGAAAGTGTTTTAAAAAGAAACGGTGTTTCTACGGCTGTTAAAACCATGATCTTTTTTGGTGGAAAATTATGCGTTTGAAATAGGTTCTTTACTTCATTATCGATTTCACCATAATAATATCTTAGAGGATATTTTTCCTGAAGACTCAGTAATATAAAGATTAAATTTTCAAGTGTTGGTTTGTAGGGATTTGATTGGTTTCAGGATTTCATCATGAGCTGACATTAATTAGAGAACCATTGGAAAACCTGGGATTAAATTTATTTGGACACTGTGTATACTGACTTTAAAGGCAAATATACTAAAGTACTAAACTAACCATTGCAACTGGTATAAATATACAAATAAATAATTTCCCCAGTGTTGTCTGCGTTACATAATCACCATAACCAACGGTAGATAGTGTTACTAAGAGAAAATAACATGCCTCGAAGTAACTCCATGAACCACGATGATTATCATTTTGCCAAAAATCTCCCAGATGCTCAATCTGTCATAGTTAATCCGAAATTAGATACAGCCAATAAAATAAAATAAATTCTGTTTTTAATAAAATAACAATTAAAATGTAATTAATTTACATGAAATAAACAACATAATTTTTAAAAAATACTACAAGTAAGTATATTCAAACTTCGGTAATGATAGCTGATAAAGCTCAAGGCTTCAACAGCGAAGGCATTAAGCAGCTATAAACAGTATGTCTTAAGTACCATGATGAAGCTAAAGAACCAGATTAATCCAGACTGTTTATTTTACAACTAATTATCATTGGTAGAAAACCACTTGAAAAGACCTAGTTAATGTCGCTCATTATATGTAATTATTTAGAGCATATAATTTTTGGCTGGAGACGAACAATATCAATAATTCCTTGGTGGTATCACTCTGATGTGGATTCGGTTTGCCCACAGTGGTGTGTAAGTAAATCAAAGTGAATTTCTAAAAGTTTGTTACTCAGATGAATCAGCGATTACCAAACATAATATCACATAAAAATTTACCTGGTAGTAAAAAATAAATCTGAATGAAGTAAGAACAACATTTTGTACAGAGTATAAATGGTACCACCAGTTATTTCATTGGCTTCTAATCAGATGCTTACAGCTCAAAGACGTTATCAAATTCGCGCAGAGAAACAATTTTAACATACACAGAAAGTTCAAGTCTAGACAAAAAATAAATGCATGCACACAATGGTAATAATAATAATAAGCAAGTTTTCAAAATGATGAACTTTGACCTTCTTGAGTTGCCACGTTGACACTGTTTATTAGATTTTTCTGTTCTCTATCTTCTCTCACCCCCCTTTTTTTCTTTTTTCATAGTTTGACAGTATATAAGTTGATGGTGACTTAGATTATAATACTTATATTCCAGATGCGTCTACCTTATAATGTTTTCTCTATTACCTTTCAAACAATGAAGTATGAAATGTTATTATTTATAACCATTGTAATTTCAGGTAGTTTGCAGTTAGCTGATGAGAACCTGTGAAATAAAATGATATCATTTTATACTGCAAATCTGGTCTTTTTTCTCTATCAAAATAATAATCACTTTATTCCAAACAAAAACAATCATAGAGAATAAAATTTTCAGTGTTACGTAGACAAACGAAACAGAAAATGAAAACATCCAGTTACCAGGGCATAGCACATAAATCAGGTTTCATGTGCTTGATGGAAATCACTTCAACAAACTTGAGAAGAACCAAACTCTTTTGCCTATTCATAGTTTTGAATGATTTTGTGATGCCCACCCTATGACTCGTACTAAGAAGATTAGGCAACGCTGGAAATTTCATTCTGTATGATTATTACTGTTTGTAACAAAGCGACTATTATTATTGTTATCATTGTGTGCATGCATTTATTTTTTGTTTAGACTTGAACTTTCTGTGTATATTAAAATTGTTTCTGTGAATAAATCTGATAATATCTTTGACTTGTAAGCAGCTGATGAGAAACCAATGAAATAAATGATGGTACCATTTTATTCTGCAGAACTGTTGTTATTGTTATGTCAAAAAATAAACCACCTGACAAGAAAGTTCGAATTCCAAGTCAATGTAAATGATTAATACAGACATAAACTAACAACTAATCACGAAAATGGTTGTCATGAGACGCAATTATATCATTCATAGAAAATTCAAATAATTTCGTTTCATACTGATAACTGCTCCGAAGATGTTGTCTAGATGAACAACGAAAGCTTTTCAATCAAATCAACCAGCTCAGAGAACACAACTAAATCAAAATCATCCGCGTGAGCTACAAATCTTCTCCATTTTGTTTCTAAAGGTACCTAAACGCAGTGATTCTTCAATGTGTACAGCATAAAGTTTTAAGATGGTCTATTATCGGAAAAGGTGATTTCGAACAGAATCCCAATGGACTATGTGTAGCCAACCAATCCATAGAAAGACGAAACAAACACTTAGTTACAAAGTGACAGCTAATTACAGTTGTCAGAAGCGAATCGAGTGCTCACACTACCATAGGAATGTTTATAAATGTTTCATCTATTTCATTGAGATTATGCATCCTCTAGTTCATTTTTTTAGTAATTAATTCGCCCTATATTACTAATGTTAGTACACGCACAATTTCTTCAAAGCCATGCACAAACAACCGGTGGCACTTATTTGTACAGCAAGTTAAAAGTGTATACATGGACTCCAAGATTATTTGTCTCCGAGGTTATATAGTCTTTTCAAATTATTAATTCATCATATTCATTATTATTATTTGACAATCATTCAGCAATAGTGCTTTTAATTTTATACAATATCATCGTTATTATTTTGCAATCATTCTTATTGTTCATTATAAATTATTTAAATTAATCCCAGAGTGTTAAGAAAATCAAAACAAGATTTTTCTGAACGTTTTGCCGTGTAAGCCACAGCTTCTTCAGCAGATTTATTCGGATTTTTATTAATCATCAAAATATATACTCAAAAATCTTTACATAAATTGATGTCTGTTTATTTGAAGGTTATTTGTCCATGGACATTTTACCAATAGAAATATGTAAGCAGTCATCACATATATTTGCAATGACTAATGTCAAATTGTTGTTGTGTTCACTCTTCCATAGTTGATTTGTAAAGATTAGAAGAAGCTGTGGCTTACACGGCGAAACGTTCAGAAAAATATTGTTTTGATTTTCTTAACACTCTGGGATTAATTTAAATAATTGATAATGAATCAATCTGACTTGGCGCTCAAATTATTCCAGAAAGTTCGTAACACCTACGGTCTGGAAACCTATATTCTTATTGTTGTTATTTTTAACCTTGAACTTATGTCTAGACAGCCCCATTCGTTAGTTTATTTTCATATTGTCTCACACACCCTGATTACACTCACTCTTGAAACCTGTATTTTCTGTTGACTATATTTATATATATACACACACGTCAGTAAATTAAATTACTTCATCTCATTTTGCCCCATGTTCTCATTGATCATGCACATTAAAAAACTATATGACCAAATGACTATTGTTTCATCCCATCTTATACTTGTTCCACAATACACTTCCTGATATGATATAAATATTTATTTAAAATGATTAGTTCCCTTTATGAATTTAGACGAAGCAATAAGAAGACGTAATTTGTCTGAATCGTGTAATGTATCTGAGCAACACCTTTCGGACAATCTGATCAGACAGGGACTTGTCAAAAGAATGTATATATATATATATATATATATATATATATATATATATATAATTAATAAAGAGTTAAGGGGTGAGACGATAAATTTAGGTCAAGGTAAAAGGACATATTGAAGGTCAAAATAACAATGACTAAACCAAATAACAGAGGTAATAGTACATCTGCTATGGTATCAGAATAAAGTTTACTAAGGAAAGTTTATTGTGGTATGATTCCCCATCTTTACTAACTTTAATCAGCATAGATAACTAGGAAATTAGTATTTTTTTTTTAGATAAATAGTATTCTAGTTTCGTGAACTTTAACAGTGTCGTAGTACAATTGACGTTGCCATGGCAAGCTGATAGCGGAAAGTAACTCTAAAAGTCAGAGTTAACTAAATTTTTTATGTATATGTATATATAACATAAAAGTCGATGACAATATTTACCAAGTCATTCTACTCTGAATAAATCCTTAAGTTGAAGGGTTTTGGACAGATAGAGTTATTTCTAAAGCACAATATTATATTTTCACTTTTTGAAAAGAACTCAGAATACAGTGATTATCACGGGCACTCTTGAAAGTATACTTCCTTGAGACTGAACACAATAACAACTTATTTACTTCCGAATGAATTTCACTAATGCGTAGAAATAGTAAAAAATTAGACAGGCCACAAATTTACTAACACTCTTATAAGTGAAAGAGAATGAATTCGCCTATCCATGCAAGTTGAATAGTTGAGTGCTATGAGGAAAGGTACCTTTCCAAATTCCAGAAATATTATAATTTCCCTTGTAACGAAAGGGAAATCTTACTTTAAATGTCTTGGAGTTGGTAACGAATAGCTAGAATGATTTAACAGATTTTGCTCTTTATGGTATTTTATAGTTCAACTGTAAGAAATAATTTATTCCCAAAAATGCAACTAACCACATGCATTATTCCACTTCCGACCATCCATATAGTGAACAATGTGAACATGATACGAGCCGACTGAATGCCTTGATTCGATGTTATTACGCCCATGTAGGTAAGTATATCAACGTAATATAAGAAGCACATTGAACGTAGAAAATTTAGGTCTAGAAATGAAACATAAAAGACGAAATACTTAGAGGAACTATCTCATCATGCTACATATGAACAAAAAGAAAAAATGTAAAGCTCTACAGTTCCAAGTTCTTCATTAAAAGACATAAATTTCTCGTAGAACCAGAACCGTCGAAATTTAAGACTACAGTCAATTTTGATTTGAGGGTATGAAGATTTCCTCGAATATGCTTAATATTTTCTAATTTTGTAATTAGTAAGAATGAAACCTATGGAACCGACTTATTATTTATTCTTAAATTTTACCACTTTCAGGGTATGATGGAGAAGCAATTCTCAAACTACTTTTCCAACACTGAAATTAACCACTTCAAAATGAAACTTTTTCGAGCGTTGGTTTGGTTGGTTTCAGGATTTCATCATGAGCTGACATTGGTTAGAGAACCATTGGAAAACCTTGGAGTAATGGACAGCTGTCTCGTCCTAGTTTGGGGCTTCTTCAGCAGTACGCACCCACCGGGATTCGAACCCAGGACCTTCTGGTTACGAGGCGAGCTCGTATATCATTAAGCTACTGGGACCCGATCTAATGGTCCTTGAATTCTAACTTCTGCCAATTCACGATATAGCGCAACCGCTAGCCAATGTCTTCGGCGAGTATTTGTCCTCACACCCGACCTGCTGCACCCTAATGGTCACGACTTCCCACTGGAACCCCAGGTAACTACCTACCTGAATAGGGCCAATCGCCAGTGAGCATCTCATTGGTATTCAAGTGTTTGTTTGTAGGGATTTGATTGGTTTCAGGATTTCATCATGAGCTGACATTAGTTAGAGAACCGTTGGAAACTTTTTCTATTAGTTCTGTGTGAAATATCAATATCTATGTATTATTTTGGTGGTTACAACCTACAAGTGGGAAAATCCTTCGTTCTATACGAAATGAGACTTTACATGACTACTAAGCATGGAGTGAAGAGATTTCAATGAGAAGACATTGTGGATTGCGTGTCCACGGACATGTATCATTGACTTTATTCACCAACAGGATGCTTAAAATTCCAGTTTTCAAAAAATTAAAGCGTTTTTCATTATGTGTACAGAACGAGTATACACAATTCTGCTGACTACTTCGAAGTGTAGTGATTAATATTATCTGGTTAGAAACAGTTTGTCTTCAGGTAAAATCACCATTTAAAACATTCAACAAGTGTATGGCACTAAGACTAACTTAGCAACTAGTTACTCAAAAGTTTCATTCTACTCCATTTCTCGCATAGTTCTCATTCTAGATCTACAGATTTTCCATGTTCTAACTTCTCAGTTGACTGTACTACAAAAGTTCAGCGTCAGAGGTAAGTTGTGCTGTATTCATCCTGAACAAACTCCTACTAAACTACATTGATTTAAGTTTTATTGACAGTTATTGACCACATTCAGTAAAGTTACCTCCTACCAGTTAACAGAAGACCATAAAAGGACATTGTTTTCAAACTGAACAATTGTTTAGTAAATACGGATATCATTTATTTAAATATCCACATAACAGCCAGAACAAGGAAATTTTCTTATCGAACAACTGTTTTCAATAACTTGTTCTTCACACTCTAAAGCTATAAATCCACGAATAGTAGAATCCAAATACCCAGTAGAGGCAAATAAAAATTAAATCAGAAACTTTACTGAGGAATAATAGCGTGTTCGTTAAAAATGTCAGCTGAATGCATACATCTGCAGTCATTCAGGACACTAAATAAAACAACATTGTGAGTTGGATGCGCATGTCATATCAGTTATGTATTTTGCTATAAACGAAATTGGTAGTGTGCCACCAGCATTTTTCAGTTGCCTAGAGTTCAACTGTTTTCAAGTCACTCGGCTATGTTCTGCTATTTTATTTAGCATCATCAAATGTATTGTTTGATGCTTCTGTAACTCAATGAATCAAGTCCATCAATCTTCGAAGCTCTATTGTTAATGAAAGGAGAGAAAATACTAGATAAAATCATCTGCTGTCGACCATCAATTAAACTCATTTTCAGTAAATCCTGATAAGTATGTGACAAATTTGTTAACCACTAAACTTTCATAACATGAGCAAACGTCAGTCTCACTTAGATTCAACTTTTCTATCCCATCAACCAGTATTTCTGACTTATCTATTGATTCCCAGGGTAAAACCCTCTATGACCAATAGAGTTCTCTATTTCCTACTTCGAACCTAAGCTGGTTGATTGCCAAACTTGTTGATACAGCACATCATCTCCGTAAATCAGTTGAGAAACAAAAACATTTTGACTTTTAAGCATTTCAGAGCCCTAAAGGAACTACTTCGTAGATCCTACATAATTGTACTGAAACCTGATAAGGGATTAGTTGCAATTTTAGTGGATGAAGTGACTATATAACAAAAGCGCTGTCTATTCTTGGTGATAAAAGCAAATTTATATCAGATATATCATCTGATGACAACGGGAAAATGAAAGGAAAACATTTAATCTAATAAGACCTCGTAGTATGGATATTACTGAATAAGATCTCGGTCTTTTCAAACCCATAATGTCTGACGTTCTCAACTTCTACGAATCACATAAAACTCATAAAATAAACAATCTATTACTTCATATACTATCAATGTGTCGTTTTCACAGACGTAAACTGGAAAATGAAATTTTATACTCAGTACGCAGTGAATTATGTAAGGTCTCTTGGAAAGCTGCTTTCGAACCTGTTGACATCAATGTGAAAGGAAGAAAATGTATTCTTTTGGTGTTTACCCTTTGTTTTTTATTATTATGGTTCCCTTGGGTTCCTAGTGAAACATAGGGCTTCAACTGCACGTCTCCACTTACTTCTGTCTGCTGCTGTACTTTTCACCTACATCCATGTTAGTCCGTACTGTTTCAACTTCTCCAACTAACACGATCTCCTCCATGTCACCCTCCCACTGACGACCCACTCGCCGCATGCTTCCCTTTCGGCCTGGTTCCACTCGAGCAGTGGCATGACGCGCGCGCGATGTCACCCAGCGCGTCGCCTCCTCAGCGAGTGTCCAATCCATCTCCACTTTCTCCTGCATATTTGTTGGCTGGCGATTGGTTCTTGTTTTGGTTGTTCCAATAGTTTCTTGTTGGTGGTTCTTTCCAGCCCGGCCATCCGATCTTCAGTATAGATCCAGCAAAGACAGTTGTTGATAAAGGTCTGGTTTGCAACAGGCTGTTGGAAATATTCTTTGTGACCCACCCGCCAAGTTTCTCATCCGTATAGAAGAACTGACTGACTTGACGTTTATATTGAAAATTCAACCGAATTTTGTTGCTGATGCTGGCTGAATGACGAAGATTTCCAGATTGGTTGTTTCAGGTTGATGAATGTGTTTCTCGCTGGCCTTCTCGATTCTCGCTCGATTTGACATCCTTGTCCGTCCCTCCCGTAGTTGAGACAAAGCTCCCTAGATAAGTGAGTGAATGAAGTAACCTCTTTCAAATCCCTCCCGTTGATGGTGATTGGCGCTGGATGTTGTTGCTGTTGTTGTTGGTTGGTTGGTTATTTTCATAACCTCCGTCTTGTCTATGTTCCCTTGGAGTCCTGTCTTCGCCGGCTGCTTCTTCGACCAGTTTGTCGGTTTTCGCTTACTTGTAGGTCTTCGATTTTGTGTGACATCAAACATAAATCATCCACACGCAAAATCCAGGTCTTCTAGGTTCTTCACGTCGCTCGGTCCAGGATATCCCTGTCTTCTCGTTTCCCACTGTCTGAGGCATAATCCAGTCCAACACAATTAGGAATATTATTGGTGATAATAAGCCAGCACCCTTGTCTGACTCCTGTGTTTACTCCAAACGCCTCGCTGAGTTTTCCGTTGTGGATCACTTGACATGTTCCGATGTCGTACAGCTGTTGAATAATGCACCTTTAATTAAGACTGTTGATATACTTTGTGATTATATATTCTCTAGTAGACGCTCATTGACTATTCATCCAACATATTTGAAAGATATTATTATTATGTACTCATGACATGGTCTGTAGCGAAACAGATAATTGATATGAGTCATAACATTGACACCAAAACAACTTTCGTGATCATCGTTTAAAGTGAATGTTTGGATGGATGCTCCTTATATGTGAGTCGTAGCTTTAATGTACTTACAGCAGAATGGCGCTAGGCTGTAATTGGAAAATTCTAAATAATTTATTCCAACAGTATTTCAACTATACAATAACCACAGACAGATGGATTATTCATTTTTCTCACAAAGTGCAAAAGATTAATCAGATAGCATAATATAGATAATTCAATGACTTTGGTAAGTTAGTAGATCATTTCCATTATTCGGTTCAATGAATCAACTGAAATGGACAAGTTAACTGTCATGTTTATAGGTGGATGCTACTTTCACTAATCATACCACAAACATCCGGTCTAATTATTAACCAATATACTTCTGATTGGCACTTTGCTTAAATTATCCGCTATACTGAAATGATTAATTCTCAGACATGTGATATCACATGCAATTTTGACAGATATTGAATAACTTTCAAATTTTCGGATAATCTCGTTTTGCTTTGTTCATTTTATTAACTCTGGAACTAACCAGCTTATAAAGTAACCTCAAGTAATCTACTGCTTTGGTCTATTGGTTTTGCTGACTAAACAAAGAGTTGGAGACGTTCTTATCAAACATGACAGGAACTAATACGTAGGCAGACTTCGAGCAGTTTTTGCACTGTACCACCTAATGCTGTCACTGTACAGCTGTTAAACCCCTAGGGTTTATAGAATCTGAAACAGATTATAAGACAACAGGACCTGTTTGAGTCAGACCACTGCCCTCAATAATGACCTTTCTGACTAATAAGTAGAAATGAATTAGGCGTTTTGTTATTATGTAAATCACTAAACGAAAATGAAACGGATAATTTACAGGGATTCTCCCTCTCCTTATGATTCATTATGGTTAGGAATGACAGCCTGAAGGCTAGTAAGGATATAAATAGATATTTATGTTACACTTATGATAATCGACCACTAACCATGATGATTGCAATCAAATAGTGACCTGGTTAGTGGATAAATCTCAAAGATCGAATGTTAGACCACCTGACTGGCAATAAGGAGGCCGCTGGTTCACACTGTGTCGCCAACCAAAATTCTATTTTTTGACTTCATTCGTTACATCAATATTTGTCTGCTGACCAGAAGGTATCCAAGACAATTTCAACGTCAGCAGGGTTTACATGAATAGTCCCTACTATTAGTCTTGAAAGCAGGGATATTTAATAGGAGTCACAATTACAAAAATACATCAACTTACCGATATGGCGATGTGTTTCGAACACACTACATAAAGCCGGAGGAATTGCGACTACATCAATTAGCGAAGAAAAACTAAGGACGAAACGAATTCTGTCGGTTGCTGCACACAGCTAGATTATAAATTTTTAGGGAAAGAAACAAAGAGAAATAAACACTTATTACACTATAGGAACACATTTCAGTAACACGTTATGCTCATATTTATACGAAGACTATGAATGTAATTCAGTATTATTTTCTATGAATGATGTGTTTTATTAAGCTATTCGGATTGGTGAACGAGGTTGTATTAAATAGTTTCACGGTTTGCCATAAACATAGATTTTGTGTTTATTAGCATGCATTAGCACGTCATACCAACAACTTTAAAAGAAATCATGCTCTCTGAGATTCAAAATAAGAGTTTATTGGCTTATTGAATAGCACAAGCCAATTCAGATTACGAAGCATCTTTTGTAGAAGTTGATCAATAAAAGTTCTGAAGCTCAAACAGAGTAGAGTTTCATACTAACTGTTTGCCGAAATAAAACACCAAGTTATAGAATAGCACAGTGTAACATGATGGAATTATGCTCCACCACAGTGCCCAAGTTTTATCCTTCTATCAGAAGTACACCAAACTGTCATTTCACTCAGCTTATGATCCGTTCACACTAAATCTATTCACTCCAGAAAAAGTGAATGAACTGGGAGTGAAATCTGTTAATATTCAGTTAGTAAATAGCATGAACTTCAAATTATTGCCTAGTTTCAAATATTCTACTAGAATATTGAATGAATGTTTCATTCCCACTTTCATAATCAACAATTTCAAACTACATTTGAATGCATTGTCATTTATGAAACTTGTAGGTTTGTATTTCTGTGAAATAACTTTTACTATGCAGGGTGTGACTCGCTAGTTTAGCCAGATAGTAGTTCCTATGTTCGGATCCCTCTTTACATGCTCAAGTCTGGGTTACAAGAAGTGTCAACAGCTTTCTTTCAATGAGTATGGCTCATGCTTTGGCCAATGAAAAATCCTGTCCTGAGTGATCGACTTCTAACCACTAACTTTTACTATTTTTGTGAAACTAGTTCCCAACATTTATCACACAAAAATGCATAAACTAGTTAGTTGTTATAATTCACAAATTTTAATTTACTTTCTCTTATTTACCTTTAAAATGTAATAACCCAAACAGAATAAATTGATGCCGAAATTCATCCAACTAAGAATTTTCGAGCGTATTGTATGACAGATACCACGAATACTCACTGGAGGGTTACTAAAAATGGAAGTATTCTTTCATCAGTGTTTTACAAATTTTACTAAAACAAAAGGATAACACAGTTGGTATCAAAGTAAACAAATCACTAATAAAAGCCATCTAATTCCAGAAACATGTTAAACTTTACCTCCAATTAATGTCTCAAAGTAAATTTTTTAATTTGTAGAGTGATTTTTTTAAAATGTATGGAGCTAATAATTCCGTACAATATGTCTGATTTATAATGCAATACAAAGACTGGAAAGTCTACTAGACTGTGGTTTAGGATGAACTTTCCAGACCCACACGGAAACGGATGATAATAGAGAATGGCTATTATTAAAACAAAAACTAAATAGTTTGTTTTTCAAATTTCATAATGTAGGAAGTAAACGGAAGTGTTAATTTTGAGGTTGTAGGTTGATAACTCATTGTTAACATGTTGCTTTGTCATAACATTTTCAATTTTAGAATTTCTACTCATTTTCATACACATTATGAAATAAAGATAAGTAGAAGAATAGAATCATAGTTTGGAATGACCATGGTGATCGTGGATACTGAAGAAATGATGATTTAAGAATGATGCCATCTAGCGTCTGTTTTCAAAGTATAAATCATGTCTTCTGTACATAGATTACCTTTAGTTTACTGAAATTTATATTAGACTAGAAGTAAAATCTGTCAGGTTCAATTACAAGAGGATAAAGCTTTAACAACGAGGTTAAGATTCAGGGGTTGATACTTATTCATATTATTGTTTGAAATAATTTAACCATATTTACGAAGAAATTTGTGTTCTCATTGTTTGCAGTGGTGTTTTGGGATTTTGAAGAGAGCGCCTTCGTAGTTGCTGTAGCTGATATGACGTCTGTCACTAATTCGTCTCTAGCTAACCTCTATACATATTTGTCTCTATTTATCGTCTGCATCTATCTTCAAATTGGTCTATCCGTTGCTGTAAACATAACTAAATACTTTTCCCGAAATCAAAGCTACTCCAGATATTTACTAGGCTAATCTAGTAATCCATATGAACTTTCCCAAGGATTTATACCAGCATTCATACATTTTCCACCTACCAAGATGGTTATCTGTGTCAGCAAAATGTATTGACAACATGGCTTGAAGTATTCAAGAATATATACTAGGTGTTGACATGCAGTAGAGTTCAGGATGTAAGTTTCGTCCACTAATAACTGTAAGCCCTTTTACAATTCAATAAACCAATTTATTACCACTTAAATTTAATTAGGTTCTCAAGAACTTGTTTGTAGCGATTTGATTTTGTTCCACGTTTGACCACCGATTGATATCAGTCAGAGAACCGCTGAAAACTATTAATTACGTTTGCCGCGAATAACATGTGCTAATCACCGACTAATTAAGTTTTTCTTAAGTTCTTCATGAAAATTTAATATGAAGCGTGAAAATAAGGAGCTTTAATAGCTGATAAGCAAATGGTTTAGCTGCATATTGTCTAAAACTCGATACGTCCAAAGCACTACCGACTGGTTAGGAAGAATTCGTCCATCTCGACAGCAAACTTATATATCTTTTAATCAGTGACATTGGGTTCATTGGCTTGAGTGCGTCAGTTTTACGACTGTTCATTCTGTTTTTCTTAGAAACTTATCCATACTGTTACTACATGCATAAAACTTGGACTCTGTGGTTGTATAAAATTCCATATTTATATATTTATTGCATATATCACAAAGTGAAACAGCATTATTTACTGGATGAAGTTTCGAATACAATTTATTGTTCACAGTTGATATGATTATGAATAATAAATTGTTTCCGAGACACTATCTAGTAAATAATACTGTTTCACTGTGTGATAAATCCAATAAACAAATTAATATGGTTTCAACATTAGTTAAAATGAAAAAAGGGTAAACCCAAGAATGAATGTGACGGTGACTAATATGGCAGATGCATGCAAATAGTGTGTTCAAACTAACTTTCTAGTTTCCACCACATAAAATAACCATGAGAAAGTACTGAGAAGGATGTAGACGGTTAGCTGGAAAAAAAAGAAAGAAAAACATTCAGATTCAAAGTTTAACATGGTGAATCCTTTTTTTGTTTTATGTAATCTTTTTACCAAAACGTTTCATTTTTCAGCTGTTAGATATATTTATAATATTAAGAAAACAGAATAAAGTGACCATTTTCTCAGGATTATATCCACAGTCACAGAGTATGCCTGTTGGTTTACTTAAAAGATGAATTTTTAGTGTATTATCGAATTAAGTGGCACACTGAACCAAATGTATTTTCACGCAGATAGTACGTACTAAAAGTTTCACAATAGCAGTTTGATAGCTTCTGCTTGAACTTCTGTCAAACGAAACACCTTTTGAAGGATACCAATAAGTATTATTTTCCAAATGTGACTATCAAGACACTAGTTAACTTTTTCAAGAGAAGATAATTTAAAACTCCATGAACGTAGTAATTCCATTTGAGTTTGGAGAGATCTGGACACATTACACTGATAAAGGCTAAAATATACTCTGCAAAACGGAGTTATTATACATTGTTTATTCGTATGTGAATTTATATTTAGAGTGTTTGTAAATATACCCTTCAAATACATTACAGGGATTGCTTCCAAACTCCGCCGGCTAAAAGCGTCTCTTATACTACCGGCCAAATCTGCAAATTAGTTAGGCCTACACAGTCGACTTAATTTAATGCAGAAAGCGTTAGCAGGCTGTTAAAATTGTATGAAATCTCTGATGCAGACATAAATTACGTGCAAGTCAGTTTCAGCGTATTTAGCTTATTGAATAGTAGAGTTGGTAGAAGAAGCAGCAGAGACAGGACTCCAAGTAAACGTAGAGAAGATGGAGGTGACGAAGATAAACAGCCAACAACAAAAGTATCAAATGAACAAGTGTGGAAGAGGTCACTTCTTTTCTTTAGCTGGCTAGGCAGCATCGTTTCAACTACAGGCGGAAGGGATGAAGATGTCAAAACCAGAGACGGAAAGACATTATTCCGAAATCAGTTTGGAAGTCTGCTGCACTCAGTATAAACAAGAAAATTCGAATTTTCTAAACCAGTGTTCATTCATTACTTCTATATGACTCAAAGACTTGGCGTGCCACGAGAAGCATTTCCAACAACTTTCTGCTGCCTTCGCTGTATACTGAAGATAAAACGACAGGTTAGAAAGAATTGACAAAGAGGAACTCTGATAGGATCTCACATAATGTAGTATGTCATCACTTCTCACACATATTTTGATTGATTATTCGATCAATTATTTCAAACTCTATTAGCCGTCTTTATTGTTGCAAAAGTGTATAAATACCATGCGTTGTTTTCCTAATAATTATAAAACACAACATAATCGAGCAAAGAATATTCTTTTCGATAAATTCCTCTTCTGGCTCTACAATTATATACATGTTTATATATATATACATATATATGCAGTAAGAATACAGAGTCTTACAATCACGAGCCAGCCCTTGTATTATGATACTTGCATGGCTCAGTGAATCGGAAGCAGGCGCAGACATAACAAAGTGACTACGGTTCTCATTCTCTTCAGTGCAGTTATAACGAATTGGCGACGAACAAAGGACAAAACATGACAAAATGCCATAAACCGCAGTACCAGCACAGTGATGGAGGCTTAGCTTAATTTTGAGAGTGACGTGCTGTGTGCTTAACGGTGATCGGAGGAGTTTTCATTGTGATAACTGAACTAAATTCAGACGACTGAGGTTTGCACTCCACCATAGCAGTGTCGTGCTTTAAGAGGATTAAACGCTGGCGTTCTGCTGACACCATTTGTAAAGTCATTTTCGGGCCTTGTCCCATAAGTGACAGAAGTCAAGTTCTCATGTCAGCATCTTCTGAGTTCTTCAAACCACAAATAAAAATCAAACACTCGAACGCATCTGGAGTCATTTCCTGCTGCTTGAACCTTTCACATTTCTTGTTCACTCTATCAGTGTAAGTGACATAATCTTCGGAAGGCATTTTTGATATTGATACTGAATATTAAACAAGGATGACTGTTCACCAAAAATTTGTGCTAAAACGGTGATTGTTTCATCGAAAGACAACTCACGTGGGTTCTTAGGCATAATGAAATGGCAACGAACCATTCAAGAACCTATTGCTTAACAAATACGGAGAAGGAAATGTTGATGGAGCGGACTTACGTTGAGGAGACCACTGGATGACATCAGGCTCCAGAGCCTCCCTCGAATGAGACCTGAATGGGAGAAGATAAGTTGGGCGTCCGAGGGCGACATTGAGGAAATTGTATGAAGGGAAGATGAGAGCTTATGGGCAATCGTTTAGCCAGAAAAAGAGGGTTTCAGAAAACAGGATAAAGTGGAAATGTGTTGCAGAAGTCCTATATTCCACTCGGAACCTGGGGGAATGATAATAAGTAATGAACTGTGCGTCGGTGGCACAGTGGTTAGGACTCTCGCCGACCATGCACATGGTCCGAGGTTCGATCCCCTGACAACGCACACCTGATATCTATGGTCGGCCCGCAAAATTTGGGCTACCGATATCCACGCTGAAAATTCCATACTTGTACCAAAAATACAGTGTGGAATCAAGCTGTAATCAAAAATAAAAATAAATAAATGTATGTTCCTGTCTTCGTCGCTAATTTGTGGGACATCAAAAGACACTCGTTTTACCCTAAGTTTTTCCGGCGTTAAGTAGTACAGTTATTTCTAAAAGACTGGATTAAAACTTGTTCGTTTTAAAAATAAAATACTGGGTGCTTATAGTTTCTCCATAATCAACAAGACAACTGTTTTGAATATACGACAGTGATTAAGCTTGATTAGTCAATAAAGTAATATGCCATTAACAAATAGACACTTTCTGCATTAGCACAAGTAACAAAAAAATTCAACTTTCAGGTTAGTGTACATAATATAAACCATCAACATTCGGAAAGATGAGACCATTCCTAAGGAAAGATCAATTATCGTAACACGAGTTCATCACTTTTTGAAAGGTTCTTGAGAATAGCTTACTTTAACAATCATCTAATAACTTAGAAAATCTGACAAAGTGTCGAGGATCCATTGTAGGACTTAATCTCTATCATTGCTAACCTTGTTTCCTGCACTGGACACTTTTTTAGGTGGATTTTTATCTTTCAGTAACGATGCGTTAGATTCAGAAGTAAGCATTGGTTGAATAGTCTCATTATGTTTCACCTTGCCAGCTGAGTAAAACACCATTTGTTTTGCGTCTGTTAGCTACAATTTATAATTACTAGTTAAACTGTATGAGTGGCATTCCATGAATTACAGAGGCATACAAACATTCTGAAGAACCATTTGTGTTATGAGCAATTCAGGATGTATAACATGGTTAATTTTAAAAGAAAATAAATCGAGTCACTCTTATGTAAGCGCATACGTGGGTTTATTATTAATGTAATTATGCATAAATATTTATACTGCAGTTCAGATTTATCTTGCCTTTCATGAGATAAATACTTTATTCCAATAACCTTAAAAAAGGTACGTGTTCTACAGACATTTTGAGGTGGCAAATTATTTTTGTAAAAACAGTATACCTTATAGAATTTTGGCATCATAATTAAAGCTAATAATAAACATTACACTGTCAATCAAGTAAAAATGTGAATGAATGACGTGTATGAAAAACGCCTAGAACTTAAATTTATAAACTTGAAAAAAAAAATTGATTTCACTCCAAAAGTGTGAGGCACTAGGATACAGTTGTATTTTGAAGTGTATTCGTTGTTCGTCTACTGATTTATGGTGAATAAAGCAGATTTCCCGACAGATTTATTGTGTGTAAATATGAATATGCGCGTAATCATTGCCTTTTCCAGGAGTAAAATTCCTTCTGTTTTCTCCGTCACCGGATTCTTTTTTCTCCTATTTTAGTGCTACTAAGTAAACATGAAACTACAGCTTACTAAAAGACGTACGACTGTACAATCTCTGAAGATGATTTCGTCGATAAAGAAAATTTTCTTCGCTTAATGTGTCTTTTATTTTATTCATGACTAAGAGATGTGCTGAGGTAACTCACGTTGCATCATATAACTCAATGTACTGTGTATTCACAGAATCCATATATTCATGCGAATCACATAACTAACAAGCAGAAACTTTTGTTGAGAACACAAGTGGAATTCTAGTTAAATGTTATGTTACAGTAGTTATTTTAGCCCCTGTCATTATCTGATGGCAGTGGATCACTGATCATCTTGGTTGGGATAAAAAAAAATGGTAGTAATACCTTCTCCACTCATGACTTTTCCTATATGACATTATTCATGACCGATTCGTCCTGATGAAGTGGTTAATAGAAAAAATGGACTTCTAAAAACTAAGATTAAGTTTCCCAGTGTTTTACTAAATCAGATCAGACTAACTTTGATTGTGTCTGCCCTAGTTGAGTCGGTGGTACAGCAACAGAAAGCTCGCCAACCACGCACTTGGGCTGGGGTTCGATTCCTGGCCGTCACACTCTAAAACCTCGCTAAGCCGGTAGCAAGATCGGCGAAGAGGTAAGGTTGGGCATGCGGCTAACAAACACACTCCGTAAAATTAAAAACCACTGGTACCGAAAATTCAAAGCTGTAGGTAGAGGCCCTGTGTTCTGCCGGGAACGTAAAGGAATAGAATAAATAATAAAAACGATACCTGTTTGTGAAACTACTCATTAATCAGGTTACATATTCAGTTTTGTTTTACTTAACTATTCAGGCAGCATGATGTAACTCATCGAATAGATCATATTCTCGTTGTGAAGTTGGAGTTAGATAGTTGCATGCAATTAACATATAGCCCTTCTTGTTTATAGGCATTTGTGGGCAAATCGTATCCGAAAGTTCATAAGAACTGATGTCTTCTCGAAGATTTGAAACCTCGTCCACCAGTGCTACGACCAGAAAAGTTACCACTGAACTGTTCGGGCTCATGACTTGTCTTTCGTACGATTTCAGTAGGCATATCATATAAATCGCAATGGAGAGTCACATAACTCAGTGAC